TTTTTGTTGACCTTTGTCCATGGAAGGTCCCTGCAAAATTTCATTGAAATTGGTTCAGGGGTTTTGGAGAAGAAGTCGAAAATGTAAATTGTTTACGGACACACGACGGACGACGACGGACAAAAGGCGATCGCAATAGGTCACTTGAGACTTTGTCTCAGGTGACCTAAAAAATCTAGGACCATTCTGAGGATTCATGAGTAAAATGTTATATTGTCATACTGGTGGCAGAGTTTATATACTATCTCAAAAAGCTAAAACAAAATGTATAACTACATAATGTATTAAGGTGGGAATCAGCAAGACTAATATTCTTCTGTCTTCTTATTTTTCTACAGAAGGATCGGCATACCAGTAACTTACCTGACTGTTCTTACAGCCAGAGGCCAGTTTGTTACCACCTGGTGACCATGCTATACACAACACCCAGTGCTTATGTCCTGTGGGGAAACAACATCACATCAACTATTAAATACTAGACATATAGTTTCTGACAATACATACAGAGAAAATTCAATACTAAACATTAGTTCCTCAGAATACCTGCAAAGAACATCAGACAATAGACAGCTATTCTTCACAATACCTACAAGGAACATTATATACAAGATGCTAGACTCTCACTATACCTTTTCTGACAATATCTACAAGTAATGTTATGTAAGATATATAAGTTCCTCACAATACTTGTACCTACAAGGAACATTAATTCATATATGAAATGAAAGTTCCTGACAATCAAACGAGGACAAGTTTTTTTTACTTAAGTCTAAGATAAAGATACATTTTATTTCAAGTCAGTGGGCATTTTAAAAACAAATAACATCAGTTCTTTAGAGCTTTTGACTGTAATAAAAGTCTATTTCATGACCCCAGGGCCTGGGGTCAGCTCTTATTGCCTCCATGGTAAAAATATGATAATTATGTTTCAATAACAAGACATTTTCTTACAAACACAGGTATTGTTATTATATACATGGACAATTAATTGTTAATCCAAGGGTTGCAATGGATGTATGTAGCTAATCCTTACCACCATATGTACGTTGTAACCCAAATACAATCCTTTAATGCCTACATAACAATAAAACAAACTGTTCCAGCATGGCGTTATTTATAGATGATCACCTCACCTTTACAGGTGTACTGTGGGGTTTCTGTGTTGACATCCCAGAATCTGACAGTTGTATCCCCTGATCCACTGGCTAGATATCTACAATGGAGACAAAACATCTACAAATCTGCTGCTACCACACAAAACTCTTCCTAAAAGTCACTAAATAATGTAACAATTCACCCCTGTAATGTAGGAAGAAAAATCTCAATTCATGGCTAAGATTTGTCCTCCTAAAAGAAGTGGGATCTTTTTCTGGACAACAAAAATCATATCCTCAGAATGATATTTCTCTGTCTACATCACACATGTGAGCTATTTTTCCCTACTTAGGAAATTAAAAGTTATAAAGTAACTTTTTACCTACACGAAACAGGAGTGACCTGTGAAATGTGAGAGAATGTTATTTCTCAGTACCTTAGAAAGTTCCCTATCTAGTTTACCACCTGTTATCATTAATGTCACTATGGTAAAATACTAGCCGCTTCCTACCGACTCGGCTAGGGAGAATTTCTCATCAGCTCATTCGGTAGAGCGTATATATTCTTAAGACTAGTAACCAGAGGTCCCGGGTTTGACTCCTAGCGGAGGCATTGGAAAAATAAAGACCACTGTTACATTAATGTAACATTGTTTATCTAATCACTTAAGCTTTGAAAAACTGGGATCAGGTGTTTACACTTTACCTGCCATCAGGACTGAAGGACACAGCGATGACCGCCTCTGCATGTCCAGCGATGGTGCTAGTACAGCGAGTGACCGCTCGGACTCTGAAGATAGCCTGAGGCTGATACACAATGTCCAGCACCTTCTCCGTGTTCTCTAGGGCTTCCTTGTCGAGGCTGCTGGACAGTGATGTCGTAATCTCACTTTCATTTACGAAAAAAGAATAGGGCACCGTTTCTGTCTGTGAAAACCAATAATACAAGATGTTACTGTTGTCTATAATAACTATCATTTAAGCAACTTATGAAACAGGGCTGAGTAACCTTTTTCGGATATGAGGCTCTCAGCCTATTCAATGTGAAAGGTAAACAAATACACAATTTTGTGAGATGCATATTCCCGTGCACATTGTTTATGGGTGGGGAGAAAAACTCAAGGTAGATAAATGTTACAAAAATCACAAGGACTGGTAATCTTTACATGACTGTTTTAAGATGGACTCAAAAGCATTTACAGGGCAGCAATCACATATGTATATCTACTAAGGATAGCGCATTATTAATTGCTAGTAACTTACATTATTGAGGATTGCATTGCAGATGAGTTGTAACTTCTCAGGTGTGATATCTACAGGTAAATCAAAAGAGCTGCCTGCCACTTCACCGGTCTCACTCTTAAACTGAGCAAGGATCCGCTGTCCTGTTTCTCCCTCTGCTTCATCCATATTTTCATTTTCACTGAAGTACAAATCATATATATATATATTCACTAAATAGAAAACTTACCAGAGGTATAACTGCACTTATAAATGTCATTGGCAATCAAACAAGTCCAGACCGAGAACTTTCTACATTTTTCAGTCTTTGTTTCCCAAATCTAATATTATTTACAGTGCATGCCTGAGTATTCAGTTGCAAAATGCACACAAAACTTTTGATAATAGTGGGTCACAGACATCTACAGTTTGTAATAGTACAGGTAAAATACATTGGGCCAGATCATTTTTGGATATTTCTGTAATAAGACAGGTAAAATGCATTTGGCCAGACTATCTTTGGTTATTTCTGTAATAGACCAATCACAAGGCTGATAGACATTGGTAAGGTACATGGACTTTAGAAATATCAAAGAACTACTCTGAGATCGAAGCTGGACGATTTTACACGACTAAAAAAATCACAATTATCTTAAACAAAAACATCACTAAAAAATCACATGTATGTAGAATTCTGTAATTTTCAAGGCAAACTTGTATCATTTACAAGGTGGTGCATACAGGGAATTTTATTATGTCATGAGCAAAGATGCTGATCTAATATGTATCAGTAAAGAAAATGTCCATCTATACAGTTCTGAGGGGTCCTCCTTAAAAGCGTCTTCAACCAACAACAAGCGTCATGCATTGTAAATAGTGCTGTCTCCGTAGGTGAAGATTTTAAGGGAAAAAAAGAAGAGAAATGTAGCAGAACTGGACTTGCTAATAAGGAAGCTCAATTGGTAGAGCATATGTCTAGAATTTGGAGGGTCCCTGGTTTGAATCCCGGTCTGGCTGTGCATTTTCCCTATCCTGTGACCATATAACACGTGTTCCAAGTAATGGATGTACACTTGGCAAGGGGATACCTGAACCTGGGTTGTAAATATTTATGTCTTGGTGGGCGAATACTTAGGAGAAGGAGGGAGGAATGAAGTGGAACTGGACTGGGTTAATCACAAGCGACCAGGTAGCTGAATTGGTAGACTGTCTGTCTTGGGTTCGGGAGATCCCGGTCTGGCCGTGCATTTCCATCTCTCCCGTTACAAGTATACCGAATGTGTAACCTATCTATCTAGATTTCAATAATATATCGGACCGGCTCATAATCAGTGGATTATATGATTTCCTCATCACTACTGACAAATGTATAATTTCAACTTCATAAAATAATTGGACTTCAATTCAACTTTACCTATGTATATTTCCCCTAATTTACATTACACTTATTCGTTAAGATACACTATTTGTCCGCCCCTATTTGTCGGTTGAGAAACATGAATAAAGCTAACAGCAGATAAGCTCTTTTTAGAGTAAAAATCACACTACAATTTGTATATGAAGTAACTTAGTATGTAAATGTAAATAATTAGTTCTCCACTGGATGACTCAACACGACGATCACTGTCTAAACTCGTGTTGTACATAACATTACCTCATGTTGCGTTCGTGTTTACGTTTGTGCAATTTTTCACCATGTGCTTCCGGTTGTGACTGGGGAGCAGTTATTACTTTAACTATTTACATATATCATTATACTGAAGATCTTCATAATATTTATACCAACTAACTATGATAAGACTTCAGAAAGATTACTTCCCGCTTTTTCGTAACCCTGAAATAAAATGTTCTCATTTCATTGAAAAAAATGAATTAATGATTTCTCATTAACGAAATCAGAAACAAGCTTGAATTATATAAAAATTTACAAACGTTTGAGTGACGGGAGAAAATCCAAGGACATCGGGAATCGCATCACATTATGGCATTGTTACTTGGAGGGAAGTTACAGCATTCTTTAACAACAGGAGCACTAACATGCGTATGCAGAAATGGTTTGTATACATTATGATTTGTATGCGTTTTGTGTTTAAAACTTGCGGAAACCGATAACACGAGGATAGAAGTTTCGGTCTGATGTTCGTTGCATTACCAGTTTTGACGATTTACGATTGATGCATTCTTTACATGACTGCAAGACCAAATCAGATTGAGAATTATTGAAAAAATATTTAAATAATACAGATATATTTCTTAGTGATCTGCTGACATTTCATGTTCTTTGCAAGTTACCGTCAAACCGTTGGGTTAATAAAACGCTAATGTAAGTCGCCTATTTGAATATGAAAGTTTTATTTTAATTCCGTATAGTTACAAACTACAAACATAAGCTCTAATGAGCTTTTAACCGAATAAAAAGAATATTCCTTATGATACATTTTTATTTGCAAATGACAGCTATCTCACGATCTAAATATTAAGGATGAAATATAGGTTGATCAATGTTGTTTTTTTACATATAATTATGTAATTTTTTTCACTTTCAGTGTCACATGTCAAATTAAAAAAAAAAAAAATGAATTTTCCTTAATAATCAAGAGTCTTATATTAGTGTTATGAATTTTAGCCAGTATCATGCTGGGATGTGTAATATAACAGCCTAGTCAGGGTTTGAACCCAGGACCCTTAAAACTCTAGACTGATGCTACCTGGTTGCCGAGGATCGACCCAGTCGTGTTCTGCTACATGCATACATATACATACATATGGTTCCGGGTTGTTTCGCCCAAAATCCCATTCGCCCTAGGTTGTTTCGTGCTAGATTGTTTCGCCCAAAAAATATGATGGCGAAACATTGTTTTGTATTTTCTTTCAATTTTAGTTGTTTTAAGTCACAAAATAAGTCTTCTTACTCTTCCATATCATTGTAACAGGGTGTACTCGATGCACTAGATCAGCATGTTTACTTGTATGTGTTGTCTATCGTACTCGTTTCATATCGAATATGTGTAAGGTCGAGCGAATGCGATTGCACGAGTATTTCCAATACTCACGCCACCCTGGGTGTCGTATACACACGCACCCGTAACCTTCCCACCTCACTCTGCACTGTATTGCTGTCGGAGCAGGAAGGACCTTTCCAGGCCTCTGGTAAGCTTATCATTGTAATAGTAATATGTAAATGTACATTTTAGCACAGTGCAATAGAATATAAGATAATATGACACTATATCTGTATAATAACGTCGAAGCTTATAAAGCGAAAGTAGAACTAAATAGTGTAGATAGACACTGTTTCACATTTATTGTAAACGTTCGTTTTATGCTTAGTTCGACTCATATATTTTAATACTAATATATTGTATTTTAGGTTTATCTACTGGAATGTAATAAACCAATGAACCTAAATCTTGTGCTCGTTATTACTGAGGAGTGAACGACTTTACATCATTAAAATCAATTTCATAAAAAAATGTGTTTGTCTTGTTTTTAAGCGAGTGTGACACACGGCAGCTGTGAAAAAGCTGACTCCGCGCTCACATACTTTACATGAAATATACCTAACGCCAATGTAGAAAGTCATCAATAACCTTAGTTGATATATTTAAATGTTAAAGTAATTATTATATTAGCTTATAAATTTTTAAAAAAATAGGGCGAAACAACCTAGGTCAAACAGGATTTAGGGCGAAACAACCCTTAGCGCGAACAGGATTTAGGGCGAAACAACCCGTTACCTATATATATGGTGTCAGTTTTTCCTTCTCAATGAGACTGGATATTAAGTTATTACAACATATTCCTGGGGAAATACTAGTCCGAATTATTCTGACGTTTTATCGACTTTTTTATATCGGTCTGTCGTCGATGACTGATATAAAAAAAGTCGATGAAACTTCAGAATAATTTGTACTAGGGAAATACCTGTTACATTGCCCAGAACAATACATATATATTGTAACATGATTAAACAGTCTACTCAAATCCAGACTCTCACTCATCCAAGGTCTGAGGGGCAATAGATGGAAATATGTTATGATGGCTCTGGTATTACAAAATGTAAGGTCTAACATTGTTATGTGAAGGAGGAGCAATGCATTTCTTTTTAATGCCTAGTCTCAAGATGTTAGTGATGTGTGGAAAAACATAAAACCACCACATCCTGTCTCAATGTATTTGATCTGATTTTTACAGGTAAACCATTTCAGTCTCTGAATTGGCAAAATATATTATCTAAGTTATTGGACATAAATATTTGATACGGAATTGCCTTTCTAGGAATTGAAATCTCCGGTGATGGAGTCAACTCCATTGTCTTGCAATTGCAAGCTAGCCCATGCTATTTAAGACAACTCATTTACCAGTAAAGAAAACCTTGGAAAAATGAAAATCCTTGGGGAAAAGAAAAAAAATGCTTGATTTAGAATTAGAATTTTGGCATACATATTATCATGTTGAATTATTTATGATCACAATAACTGTTTCGTGGAAATGATTTCAGGTTCTTACTTTTTATTTGTAGTAAGGTGTTGTTCTGTGTTGACCTCTGACTTGACCAAGACGTCCTCTCCCAATGCTGACTATGAAATAAACCCACTGTTTAGGAACAGAAACCCAAGGTAAATGACTATCCATTGTGTGGAGATACAAGGTAAATGACTATCCATTGTGTGTAGATACAAGGTAATTGACCATCCATTGTGTGGAGATACAAGGTAAATGACCATCCATTGTGTGTCGATACAAGGTAAATGACCATCCATTATGTGGAGATACAAGGTAAATGACCATCCATTGTGTGTAGATACAAGGTAAATGACCATCCATTGTGTGTCGATACAAGGTAAATGACCATCCATTGTGTGGAAATACAAGGTAAATGACCATCCATTGTGTGTAGATACTAGGTAAAATACCATCCATTGTGTGGAGATACAAGGTAAAAGACCATCCATTGTGTGGAGATACAAGGTAAAAGACCATCCATTGTGTGGAGATACAAGGTAAATAACCATCCATTGTGTGTAGATACAAGGTAAATTACCATCCATTGTGTGGAGATACAAGGTAAAAGACCATCCATTGTGTGTAGATACAAGGTAAACTACCATCCATTGTGTGGAGATACAAGGTAAATAACCATCCATTGTGTGTAGATACAAGGAAAATGACCATCCATTGTGTTGAGATACAAGTAAATGACCATCTATTGTGTGGAGATACAAGGTAAATGACCATCCATTGTGTTGAGATACAAGGTAAATGACCATCCATTGTGTGGAGATACAAGGTAAAACACCATCCATTGTGTGGAGATACAAAGTAAATGACCATCCATTGTGTGTAGATACAAGGTAAATGACCATCCATTGTGTTGAGATACAAGGTAAATGACCATCTATTGTGTGGAGATAGAAGGTAAAAGACCATCTATTGTGTGGAGATAGAAGGTAAAAGACCATCCATTGTGTGGAGATACAAGGTAAAAGACCATCCATTGTGTGGAGATACAAGGTAAATGACCATCCATTGTGTGGAGATAGAAGGTAAAAGACCATCTATTGTGTGGAGATAGAAGGTAAAAGCCCATCCATTGTGTGGAGATACAAGGTAAAACACCATCCATTGTGTGGAGATAATTGGTGACCAGATCATTTGAGAGGATGTAACATTGTGTCTGTAAAATCTGCATTAACTCATTCACCCCTGAAATTTCATAATGAACCATTCCAACCTTTGAATTGGAAGAGCTCAAATATATTACTCCAATGTGTCTTTAGGGGTGAATGAGTTAAGGAAAAAAAAAGAAGTCTTTTTGTGCCACTGGATGTAAAAGTCAGGTGACGATAATGTCAGAATCTTCTGTATCATTGAAATCACACTGATTTTGTATTTTTGTATAAGAACGATATACATTGTATTATTGTGTATTTGTTGATGAGATTAAAAATTCCAGTTTTATTTTTATGCACTTCATTCAGATGTATTTCTAGAACTTTTTAACAGAATAGGTCTAACAAAATATATAAGTTACCGGTAATAAAACTGTGTTTTAATTCATAGAAACTTAGAAAAGATGGCTTTGGCATGGAAGGCAACAGGATGGCAATTCCAAAAGGGAATACGAAACTTCTACCATCGGTGAGTCATCACAACTATATTTATAGTGTTTTGCAGAGTCTTTCCCTTAATATGTGTTCTTTCAACTCTCAATAGCAAGTAGTATAAGATGTCAAACTCATTTCAGAGATTTGTTTCTTTCATTCGAATCTGATTTAATTATTTCCTAATATTTTGGTGACTGTCACAACACAAGTTTTAACCTTCATTTAACTCATTCACCCCTGAAGACACATTTTAACTCTTCAAATGCAAAGGTTGGAATAGTCCATTATGAAATTTCAGGGGTGAATGAGTTAAGGTGGCTCCACACTTTCGCAATTAACCAGCAAAATTCGTTGAAACTTTCATATAATGGTTATGCAACTATGTAGAGTTGATTTTATGAAAATCTAAACATTCCGATAGTTTGGGGCCTTTTTACGAAAAAATGCCAAAAAAATGAATTTTCGTCAATTTTATTTTTTTCCGTTATTTTGTGTGTGTGGCATTGTTCGGAACAATAACAACAATAAAAAAATGAAAAAAAATCTAATTTACCCTTCAAATATTTTATTTATCGCAAAAAATGTGACACATGTTACACAAAGTGTTTTTTATTGAGTTTGTACGGATAAAAGTGGTTATCTACAAGCTAAAAGAAAACAGGACACAAAGATCTATACATATAGAGTGGGAAATTGAACAAAATATACACAATGGCTTTATAATTAATTTATTTTACATTTTACAATCACTTTGATCCGGGTGAGAGTTATCGTCCTTGAAAAAAATCGGAACTTTTTGCAGAGGAATGAAATTTACACAATGACAGTTGACTCTGTTTACATATAACAAAAATGATGGAAATAAATCAAAAATATGATATCAAAATTATCAATTTATTGTTCTTTAATGGAACCAAATTATTCTCAGTCATGTACACTTCGGACATCATCCCACAGTCCGCTAACTCACGGTATATTTATAATTACATGTCAGGTACATATGTGACCAGAGGCTATCGCATGGTATGCCGTTCTCACATGCACTCACACATGCATTTCATAGGGATCTTGATATTTTACAAAACATTATTTTCACAGAGTAAGTAGACTACATTTGTAAAAAAGATTTAATCGACAGATGGAAACTAGCTCAACAGCGAAAATCATAACGACCTCGAGCTTATGAACTCGTGTAAGCACGTGATATGCACATGTGAGGTCGGTACGTCTGCATTCCATGTGTTTCCTATATGACCTTCTTGAGGTCGTCTGGTCTCATGTCACTGTCTTCCCTAGAGTCTGTTTATGTCTATAAATTGGAAAGCTTTATTACTGAAGTACGTGTGATTATACATTTCCCGGTAAAATCTCGATATTGGGTGTTGACATATCATCGGCACGCACGTGTACTATTGTTTACCAGGGTCCTGTTCATTTATGCGGAACAACCGGTTTGACCGCTTATAAATGTAACAATTTTGGGTATAAATCCTGGTGGACCTGCAAATGTGTATGCAGGCCTTGCAAGGCTTTCTCAAAGCTCGCCTGAATGCAGCACCAGATTACTAGGTTCGACCTTATTTAATAAACAAACAACAGTGGTCCGATCGGTTTGACCGTTTAAACGAAAACAACCCAAGTGTTACTATAATTTGCACTACGATATTGAATGCCCGATACGCAAAACGGAAATGACGACACAGTGTACATGCACATTTTGATCAAGATAATTGAGTCCGAGCTGTACTTTTTTCTGGAAGAAGGTCACGAAAATGGACGCTGATGACGATGTGTGGAGCCACCTTAATGATTTAACATCACTCAATATAACATTAACTTTTTCATATTCTTAAAATGAAGATTATAGTGTATTCGTTTAAACCAAATGGAATTACTACTAGCAAATGACTAATGTACATTGCAGGACAATTACTTTTACCCTTTATGCAATTTCAGAAGTAATAAAAGTTGAAGTATGTCATTGTAGTATACTTACTTACAATTTATGAACTTAAATTCATAATTGCCAAATGGAAACATGTGTTCAGTTGATTTTTTCCTTAGATGTGTTCTGAAAGACAATCCATCCAGATAAAAAACTCAAGTCAATTTTTTGCATGAGTGTTAATATATTCTTATAAAAACAGTCGTCATTGCACAAGGTAAGGGGTAGTTAAAATAAAGATGGCTGGGTCATCTTCCGGGAAATTTAGTGTTAGTTTAAAGTAAAGTTACTTTTAAAGTGCCCCCAGCTTAGACCTTACTAAACAATGGACATTGATGAAGGTTTGGCCAACTCTTGTCAATTTGTAAAAATAAAAACACACAAAAGACATGCTTTCTGTAAAATAAACACAAATTATTGCAGACTATCAGATCCACTCGGTTTTAATGAAAAGGAATGGAATTGACTAGGAGATTAAATGTCATAAATGGGAGGTGTATCTGGCTGTAATGGTCTAGAGTCAACACTAAAGTCACAGCACATTTCTTCCTTATTTGCAGATTAAGTATACAAACTACCAGCAGAAAAACGACAGCATCAGTTGAGCATTGCAGTGGAGCATTCACCCTCCAGGTTTCTACAGAAAGTCCAGAAATAAAACGAGCTTTTGCTGGGTAGGTAAAATTGATTTATTGTATCCTGTGAGTTTTGTGAGAGATGTGTTGTCTCTTGTTTAGATTGAAGAGTATTTGGTATTGTGTGTTAAAGTGCCACTTATCAACACAGATTATTAATCGAAACACCACTTAGTGGTGTTCCGATTAATAATCTGTGTCGAGTGCTGATTGGTTAGGACATGTAACTGTTTAATTGACAACAGATTCCATAGTCAGTTCTAGGATAAAATTGTTTGTAGATGTTGTGGGTTTCCGTGTGCAAGGTATCAGTGTTTCAAGTTTATCTCAAGCTAGTATTGTTCCAATTAATCGATTTAATTAATAACTGAACTAATAGTTAATCATTTTACCTCTGACTATGTATAATCAATCAGGATTGTCTATGATAGATGATGGTTTGTCAATTACATGGAAACTTTAGAATTATTCAGATTTGCAGCAGACCTGAACATTTATTAATAAACAATTTTATTCATAAGTTTACCATAAACTGCATTCAAACAACATTTCTGCCTATTCCTAGGTATTTAAAAAGTATCCAACACATTTTACCTATTCCCAGGTAATTAAAAAGCATCCAACACATTTTACCTATTCCCATGTAATTAAAAAGTATCCAACACATTATACCTATTCCTAGGTATTTAAAAAGCATCCAACACATTTGACCTATTCCTAGATATTTAAAAAGTATCCAACACATTTCACCTATTCCCAGGTAATTAAAAAGTATCCAACCCATTTTACCTATTCCCAGGTAATTAAAAAGGATCCAACACATTTTACCTATTCCCAGGGAATTAAAAAGTATCCAACACATTTTACCTATTCCCAGGGAATTAAAAAGAATCAAAGACATTTTACCTATTCCTAGGTATTTAACAAGTATCCAACACATTTGACCTATTCCTAGGGATTTAAAAAGGATCCAACACATTTTACCTATTCCCAGGGAATTAAAAAGTATCCAACACATTTTAACTATTCCTAGGTAATTAAAAAGTATCTAACACATTTTACCTATTCCCAGGTAGTTAAAAAGTATCCAAAACATTTTACCTATTCCTAGGTATTTGAAAAGTATCCAACACATCAAAACATTTGACCTATTCCTAGGTATTTGAAAAGTATCCAAAACATTTTACCTATTCCTAGGTATTTAAAAAGTATCCAATACATTTTACCTATTCCTAGGTATTTGAAAAGTATCCAACACATTTTACCTAGGAATAGGTAAGATGTTTTGGATACTTTTCAAATACCTAGGAATAGATAAAATGCGTTGGATACTTTTTATCTATTCCTAGGTATTTAACAAGTATCCAACACATTTCACCTATTCCTAGGTATTTAAAAAGTATCCAACACATTTTACCTATTCCTAGGTATTTAAAAAGCATCCAACACATTTGACCTATTCCTAGGTATTTAACAAGTATCCAACACATTTTACCTATTCCTAGGTATTTAAAAAGTATCCAACACATTTCACCTATTCCTAGGTTTTAAAAAGTATCCAACACATTTGACCTATTCCTAGGTATTTAAAAAGTATCCAACACATTTTACCTATTCCTAGGTATTTAAAAAGCATCCAACACATTTGACATATTCCTAGGTATTTAACAAGTATCCAACACATTTTACCTATTCCTAGGTATTTGAATAGTATCCAACACATTTTACCTATTCCTAGGTATTTGAAAAGTGTCCAACACATTTTACCTATTCCTAGGTATTTAAAGAGTATCCAACACATTTTACCTATTCCTAGGTATTTGAAAAGTATCCAACACATTTTTCCGATTCCTAGGTATTTAAAAAGTATCCAACACATTTTACATATTCCTAGGTAGTTAAAAAGTATCCAACACATTTCACCTATTCCTAGGTATTTAAAAAGTATCCAACACATTTGACCTATTCCTAGGTATTTAACAAGTATCCAACACATTTTACCTATTTTGGTTAATTCTCCTCTATCTATCTATTTGTTATACACCAGAATGGTTTTAATGCGGAGGCAAATTCTGTTCATCAATTTCTGAAGCAGTTTCCAACATCATTTCAAGCACTGTGTCGTGTAATACAGCAAATTGCTCAAAATATTTTTTTTTCGGTTGCTCCGTTTGTATGATACTGAATTTCTGGCTTGTTTACCTGGTCGGTAATGTAATATCAGATTCAGTGAGGACTGGCTTGTTTACCTGGTCGGTAATATAATATCAGATTCAGTGAGGACTGGCTTGTTTACCTGGTCGGGAATATAATATCAGATTCAGTGAGGACTGGCTTTTTTACCTGGTCGGTAATATAATATCAGATTCAGTGAGGACTGGCTTGTGTTTTAACATAATTTCTCATGATATATAGGTCTGTAATGTTAACTCCCAAAAGTTAAATGTTAACATGTTATAAGTCAGTTATCAGTTGGTGAAGAGAAACCATTGATCAAATAATCTCAACTCATATCCAACACTTCTGTGTTTGGTCTCATGTTTAGTTATTAAAATTGAGGAGTGTTTTATGCAGTACATGTATAACATTAGATAGTGATATCCATCATTCATAGCTAAAAATAAAAAACAATGTCTTATGTTGCAAATGTTTTGATGTTTTGAGTTACTGTCTGTGCTATGATTGCAGCTCCGGTTGCAGTAGAGTAACAAAGGTCCATTACCTAGGCCAAGTAATTGCCCAGCGGTGTCTTGAGGCGGGCATCACACATATCGTCTTTGATCCTCCAGAGGGTGATGATATTTCACCAAAGGTAAAACAGTTCACAAATGTTTTTCATGCATATTTTTCTGGATAAGCCCGAGCAATCTTGTATCAGATAGCTATGAGTAAACAGTCACATTAAATCACCAATGTAACAGTTAGAATTAGATAGATGTTCAGTTTCTTTGAGGCACGGTAGTCTAGTGGTAGGACGCCGCGCTACAGGAGGCACGGTAGTCTAGTGGTAGGACGCCGGGCTACAGGAGGCACGGTAGTCTAGTGGTAGGACGCCGCGCTCCAGGAGGCACGGTAGTCTAGTGGTAGGACGCCGCGCTACAGGAGGCACGGTAGTCTAGTGGTAGGACGGCGGGCTACAGGAGGCACGGTAGTCTAGTGGTAGGACGCCGCGCTACAGGAGGCACGGTAGTCTAGTGGTAGGACGCTGGGCTACAGGAAGGGTTGCGGGTTCGAGTCACGGCACTGTGTTGTATCCTTGAGCAGGATACTTTACTCCGCTTATTACAGTTTACTCAGCTGTAAATGAGGACGTGGTTGGGCAGTGCTAGAGTTGTTGAATGCTAGCTGTTGGCACCGAAATGGCAGCTCTGGCTGAATGCTCCCCAGGGAGTTGAGAAAGATATCGGCTGGTTGCAAAGGCCCTATAACCAGGGATAATAATTTGTGAACTGCTTTGAGACGACCTATGAACTAGGTTGTGATAAAGCAGTATATAAGAACCTCGAATTATTATAATTATTATTATTATTACTCATGGTGATTTCTGAAATTAACACAAGAAAACCTTTACTGGTAGCAATGATAATTTCAGCCTACTAAAATTCGTTTTTAATTTGCCTTTGTTTATTCATTAAGAAGACTTCTATGCAAGGTGAAAACCAGCTAACCAATACTTCCAAGATTGATCATTTACACTACCTTGGGATGAATGCCAGCAACATATGATCACTGAAAAAATAGCACCTATTTCAGGATGTGTTTGGAGTATCAGATCAAGATGTGTTTAGAGTATCAAATTGATATAAATAAATAACATTCGTTCATGTTTTTTATCATTCATAAACCAATGGCCTGCTCCTATAGGTCTGTTTGTAATTTACAAACCAATGGCCTGCTCCTATAGGTCTGTTTGTAATTGACAAACCAATGGTCTGCTCCTATAGGTCTGTTTGTAATTCATAAACCAATGGCCTGCTCCTATTGGTCTGTTTGTAATTGACAAACCAATGGCCTGCTCCTATAGGTCTGTTTTTAATTTACAAACCAATGGCCTGCTCCTATAGGTCTGTTTGTAATTTCACACAAGTCTGATTTGGTAATGCATATTTTGAATTACAATTTGTATTTTAGTTTAACAAAACGTTACATTGATTTATATTATAAATATAAAGTAACTATAACACATTTTGATCACATTGATTTAACTCTTTTTCAGGATCAGTCTTTCATAGACGGTTTGGAAAAAATGAAAATGGAATTGACAGAGCCTGAAATGATAAAACCAATCTACCGGCCGGGTATAGACTACAGTAAACCTAACAGATACGCGGAGCGCAAAAAGTACAAACGTGACATCCAGGTGGCTTGACCTATCTGTACCGATATCATATTTGTTTATAGTAATAAAAGTTCAAATTGGTGAATATTTGTTTGAAGTACTTTTAAAGAGACTATTGATAATAGTCATACTTCCTTAAATCAAACTGAACTTACAGCAAAGTCTGAATTTTTTCCATACATAACAATACTGATATTCCACTGATGAATCAATCTTTTTATGTGTCAAATTTCTCCCTGTTTAAACTACAATCAAGGTCTGATTGATAGGAAAACATTGAAATTTACGGCCAATAAATCTAAGACTTAAACAGCTACCTGTATGAGAACATTGAAATGTCTGGGGGTCATTTTAACACCAAAACATGCAAACAACAGTTAATTGATACATGAATTAGATTTTTCTAATAACATTAAATCTAATAATTAAAGATTTCAAATCAAATTTCTTGCCTTGTGTTCCATCACTTTACAATCACATTCTGTATTGGCAGTATATACCGTACAGGATCTCAAAGATGTTGAATCAAAGTTTTGATGTTTTAAATTTTTCCTGATGGTCCCGATTATAAAGTTTGAAACATTGAAGTTTGACTGTTGTATATCATACCTGCTCCTGTATGAAATTATTTTAAAATGCAATCAAAACTGACCAGAAGAAATCATGGAAAGATGGTGAAATTTCATTCTCTAAGACAAGGTGTACATCAAATATACACATCAAAATTAACCCAGACTTATCAAGACCAGAAGGTAATATCTGAGGAATAATAAATAAATAAAAAAAATACTTATTAAGATCAGACAGCATCTTCTCTGGACTGGAGTGGACATGAAAGCTAACCGAAACATATCAAAAACATCCAATGAGCAATCGAAGAAAAGTACCATTTTAAAGTGCTTTTGTTAAAATTTTGTTGTTCAAATATCAACAAGATAAACACAATACACTACAGTATAATTTTATGTGGATTGCTTTTAATAGGCAGTTGACATTAATTTTAACTACATTTGGTATGAAGTTAACCAGCACTTGGTGTCAGCTCAAAATGGAGGCAAAACCAGGAATGGCTTCAGCCAGGCAAGAATTTCATGCCCATCATGGTGTCTCCGATTATCTAGAAAAGTAGGTCAGTCACCAATCAAATCATGTAAAACAGGGAACTTTCACGCCCATTTTATATACAAGTTATTTCAACCTGAAATAAACAATGGATTTCAACAAGCTACCAAAGTGTATAGAGATAGTGTAGAAGTATCAGTAAATAAACATCAGCAGTGTAGAAGTATCAGTAAATAAACATCAGCAGTGTAGAAGTATCAGTAAATAAACATCAGCATTGTAGAAGTATCAGTAAATAAACATCAGCATTGTAGAAGTATCAGTAAATAAACATCAGCAGTGTAGAAGTATCAGTAAATAAACATCAGCAGTGTAGAAGTATCAGTAAATAAACATCAGCAGTGTAGAAGTATCAGTAAATAAACATCAGCAGTGTAGAAGTATCAGTAAATAAACATCAGCATTGTAGAAGTATCAGTAAATAAACATCAGCATTGTAGAAGTATCAGTAAATAAACATCAGCATTGTAGAAGTATCAGTAAATAAACATCAGCAGTGTAGAAGTATCAGTAAATAAACATCAGCAGTGTAGAAGTATCAGTAAATAAACATCAGCAGTGTAGAAGTATCAGTAAATAAACATCAGCAGTGTAGAAGTATCAGTAAATAAACATCAGCAGTGTAGAAGTATCAGTAAATAAACATCAGCAGTGTAGAAGTATCAGTAAATAAACATCAGCAGTGTAGAAGTATCAGTAAATAAACATCAGCAGTGTAGAAGTATCAGTAAATAAACATCAGCAGTGTAGAAGTATCAGTAAATAAACATCAGCAGTGTAGAAGTATCAGTAAATAAACATCAGCAGTGTAGAAGTATCAGTAAATAAACATCAGCAGTGTAGAAGTATCAGTAAATAAACATCAGCAGTGTAGAAGTATCAGTAAATAAACATCAGCAGTGTAGAAGTATCAGTAAATAAACATCAGCAGTGTAGAAGTATCAGTAAATAAACATCAGCAGTGTAGAAGTATCAGTAAATAAACATCAGCAGTGTAGAAGTATCAGTAAATAAACATCAGCAGTGTAGAAGTATCAGTAAATAAACATCAGCAGTGTAGAAGTATCAGTAAATAAACATCAGCAGTGTAGAAGTATCAGTAAATAAACATCAGCAGTGTAGAAGTATCAGTAAATAAACATCAGCAGTGTAGAAGTATCAGTAAATAAACATCAGCAGTGTAGAAGTATCAGTAAATAAACATCAGCAGTGTAGAAGTATCAGTAAATAAACATCAGCAGTGTAGAAGTATCAGTAAATAAACATCAGCAGTGTAGAAGTATCAGTAAATAAACATCAGCAGTGTAGAAGTATCAGTAAATAAACATCAGCAGTGTAGAAGTATCAGTAAATAAACATCAGCAGTGTAGAAGTATCAGTAAATAAACATCAGCAGTGTAGAAGTATCAGTAAATAAACATCAGCAGTGTAGAAGTATCAGTAAATAAACATCAGCAGTGTAGAAGTATCAGTAAATAAACATCAGCAGTGTAGAAGTATCAGTAAATAAACATCAGCAAATCTAACAATAGAGGTCCCCCAATGAGTGATGGTTGGTTATCATGTTTTTCATGAAAGATGACGTCGTAAAGCATTGTTACTTGAAATCATAATCAGAAGATTGACCAATTAAATAACCTCCAGGGTAACCAAAAACCGTTACCGATAATAGTAATAATATACAACATTTATATAGTGCCCTATATAATTCGTAAAATTACTCTAAAGCGCTTTACTAAAGTTTGGATAATAGTATACATATGGATACGGATATGATACATATGGATAATAGTAATGGTTATAATTGTGAAAACAAAAAACAAAGGCTTTAATACAATCACTTTTATACATTTAACAAGCAATGTGCACATAATTGAAGAAATAAAAGGGTGGTATTTACATGACGTCTTTGCAAGGATTCTAAAATGCAGACGTGAAGAGGTGAGTTTTGATGTCCCTCTTGAACTTGGCCAGGGTATTTGACTTTCTAATAGCAGATGGTAAGCTATTCCACAACGTAGCCGAAACCCTCCCAAAGCATCTGTTTTCATACCAACCCCTAGAAGTTTTATCCAATGAGTCCTTGGTGAGAAAACCTAGCGTGGGTGTGGGAGAAACTTTACCACTGTTTTACACAACAGTAAGACACAGTAATCATTCCACATATAGTTAATCAGAAAGCAACTCTTGTAATCAAAGAAAACACAAATCTGTATATCATTCAATGTTTGTTTTATTACAATTTAGACTAGTGTTTCTAACATGTAAAGTGCATATAAATCATAAATAACAATTTTTCAGTTTACAACATAACTAAAGTATCTAAATCATTCTCTATTCATCCAACATTTACTTTTACTTAAAACTATTTTGATATGAACACATTAGCAACCTATCCAGGTCTGTACAATTTCCTTTCTGTTTCAGTGTAATAATCAGTTAGTTTTGTTTTTAATAACTGAAATGGGAGATGATATTACCTCCCTTATAACTGAAATGGGAGATGATATTACCTCCCTTATAACTGAAATGGGAGATGATATTACCCCCCTTATCAACGAGATTACCTCCCTTATCGACCACATTACCTCCCTTAGTCCCTTACCACAACTACTTCACGATAAAATGTTTATCAAATGTTAGAAATTCACAACATAAAAAAAAAAAAAAATCTAACCAACAAGCTTACTAATGCTACTGACATGTGTAGCATCATACACAGGTATACAACTTTACAGGTTCACATTTGATTCATTATCTATATTATAGGAATTGCATTGAGTTGCTTTGTTCTGATCTTGATCAAGGAGGCCTTGGCAGTGCTCTGGATCAGGTGGTGTACATGGAGAGGTCATTGTATGACAAGGTCATGGGAGACTGAAGGCTCAACTCCTGCTCCAGAGCATCCATATCTATATTGAGGTCACCAGTCACTTCCATCCAGTCAGTCAGCAGGGAGGACGACAAGGGGGAAGGTTCAGGGCGAGCACTGGAAACACAAATATAAATTATAAATAAATGTAAGGTAGTACATATATCATTCTTAACTACTATATATATCCTATTAGGTTAGAGAATTGTACAGACTGAATACAAACCCTAACATATCTCTTCAACAAAAACTATTCTGCAAATTTTATTTTAAATTGTCACACAGCAAAATAAAAGATAAATTTCACTGGTGGATCATTTGACCATAATTTCTATATGCACAACCCATAGAGTAAATATTAATGCAGGCACTACCCAACTGACGGTTTCCTAGGTTTGCCTCAAAACCCAACAATTTACAGTGGTAATCCAAACATTAAATCCAGACTGGTATTTTACCTCCTGTTACATACCTAAAATCTTATAACTTCATTTCATGTAACATAATAATATTAGCAAATTAGATTGGATTGAATTTATCACATGACTTCAAAATAGAACATAACATTTTTCATGAAATTTCTTCTTGACAAATTTCAAATTCAAATCAAGCTATTCAGTTCCAATTGTGTAATCGATGATGAATTACATAATATGAAAAATATGGGAACTCCTGGAGTGGAGCATCAATCCTGTTTTGTTTATTAATGCAAAGACTTACCCAATTTCCTGAGCATCAACCATGAGGGCATCCAGGTCCATTCCCACACCATATCCGGCTCCTGTGCCACGTGGGGTCAAGGCTAGGGCTGGGGGACAGGGGTCATCAACCTGAGACCGAGACAACTGCCTAGACAGAGAGGTGATCAGGTCTGGTGGAGAGTTAGCATTGAATAACAGATGATTGGTCAATGACTGGCCAGGTTGCATTGAAGAGCCATGTGTGAAATAAGAGTGTTGGTGTGGATGATCGTGTGAAGTAGCACCTTGTTTAAACGGGATTTGGGAGCCACCACCAAAGTAATGTCCCTGACCGTTGTCATTGTCCATGGCTACTGGAGCAAATGGAATCTGGTTTATGTGTCCACTCAAATCCTGCACTGTGTTCAGTGACAAAATGGCATCTGACAGACCAGGATTGCTAGACTGGCTATCTGTGTTGCTGAGCTGGTCATCACTAGGCCTTCGACCAAACTCTCCAAAAGTTGACTGAGGGGAATTCTGCGGTTGGAATAATGACTGAGGTGATTGTTGTTGTTGGTCAAATGTTGACTGGGATGTCCTCTGCTGAAACACAGAATCATGTGCCCCCTGCTGGAACCCCTGTTGTGGTGACCTCTGTTGAAGGTCAGGAGGACTGGACTCGGAGTATGACCCCAGTCTGTTATTACTTTGGTCCTGAGATTCTCCATGATAATATTCTGGTGAGCCATGCGACTGGTAACTTTCAGGTGAGCTGTGATTACTATAGTCTTTGTGAGGAGAAGCTGGAGACCCATGAGAAACTGGTGCTCGAGCTTGCGAGAAGGACTTACTTTGATTTTCATCTGGAGGAAGAGATGATGATGTGGCAGAGATTCTATTATCACCTGTTACACCCTCCCCTCCAGTGGTACCAAACGACTGTTGAGTTGTACTGAAAAAATGACCTTGCTGAAAATTTGTTGTCTGGGAATTAATGATTCCAAGCATCTTTAAATTGTCAAAACTGATAGTTGAAAGGTCATTATTCATATCACTTTCTTCTAATTTATGAATTCCACCTTCCATCATTCCTTGCTGTTGAACGAGATTACCCATAATACCTTGGGTTCCTTGACTTCCTGCTATTAGCGAGAGTTGATGAGTATATGACATATTGTTTTGTTCAGTTATTGAAGATGACACACCTCCTTGAGAAAGCCTCACGTTTGTACTGATGCTGTTCTGACTGCTATCAGTTTGAAGACCACTTTGACCTGACATGCTGGAGTTCACTGTTTGGCTATGCTTCTGTGCACTGTCCTGAGGGAAGCTAGCTGGCTGTGCAATGTCCGACTGATACTGGCCAGAATGACTGCCAGGCTGAGATATACTGTTTCCTGTCTGTGACAAAGTTCGGTCAGATCCGGGATGTACTGTACTGGTGGGGTTGACTTGTGGACGAGTGGGGTCAGAGTCTGCAGCCTTTTTCTGATTGGCCAGGTACTGTTGGAGGCACTGCTGCCCCAGTGTCTGACCTGTCTCCCCAATAGATATCATATTACAGTTTGCGGGCTGGGCTGTTGAGTTGGGCTTGTTGTCGGGCTTTGGTGCAATAGGATGGTTCACTTTCTGCATCTTGGACCATCTGTTGAGAAGTTCTCTGTCTGCATCGGTGAGGAGTGCCCCGGATTCAGCTGTGGAAAACAACAGTATAACACTGCCTTATCAATACAGTAATAATATATTAAGTTCAGGCCCAGATGACTTGCATGAAATTAGATTGTTTGTCTGTTTCTTCTATCTTATATTGTAGCTGTATATGATTTATCATTAGCTGATCTTTGTCTTTCTCTTTCTTGTGCCCCAGACAAAGAATTTTCATTACTATATTTAGTACTGGTATTTTCCATTTCATTCAGTTTGTCTGGCACATATGGGTGACATTTGAGCAGGAAATATTCTCCCACAATCTTGCTATTTAGTGTGCAAAAGGAAATGATAATCTTACTTATCAACTTCATGTCTTAAGACTGTTGATTAGCGTTTGGTGAAGAAAGTTTGCATTTTAAAGTCTGGACTTGCTATCAATTTGTATCAGTTTAACAGATTTGCACCATAATCACTTTCCATGTCCTATACTCCGGTGCTTATAGTTCTACTAGCCAAACAACAAGAACTAGTAAATCTTTTTCTGCGATATTGAACATTTTCGAAATTAGCTATGAAATTATAAATTGGGCAAGTAGGAAATTTCATGATCAGCAGGCAGGCTAGTACTCAGTGAAATTATACACCCTGTGCTACTGCAGTATGAGTATTAACTAGATAATTTAGTATCACTACAAATTCCAAGATTGTGATTTTCCACCTTTCTGTTCTTTCTTCTTCTTTGTCCTCTCAAGAGCCTTTTCCTTCTTTTTCTTCCTTTTCTCCTCCCTCTCCTTCTGTCTTTGTGCAGCAGTGATGGGTTTCGGTCTGTCATCTGCTTCTACAGAGGATTCTGAAATCACATCAAAAGATAAATGCAATTCTTTTTCGAATTATGCTTAGGAATATATTTCACAAATGGTGACGGCTACAGGGAAATCCAAGCAAAGTATGATATTGCTTATTGTAACATTTTGGTCATTATCGTTTTTTTCTTTCTTTATTTTTTTATCTCTTAGAATGAAATCTTACTATCAAGATATATACTACCAGTTACCCAAAACCTCACTTTCAAAACTTACTAATACAAGCCTAGCTATGAGTCATGCCGCAGGACCCATTATCAATGCTGTAAGCAGCAAGTCTTTCTTGATGATGCTCAAGTAAATAACATCAGCAGAAAATTATAACTTATTGCATCTTTGTTTCTTCAGACTAGAGTTGAGTATACTTACTGTGGGCCTGTTCGTTCATGCGGAACAACCGGTTTGTACGTTTTTAAATGTAACAATTTCAGGTATAAAAAACTAGGTCCGATCTTATTTAATAAATGAACAATTGCGGTCCGACCAGTTCAACCACTTAAATGAAAACGGCCCAGGTCTTTGCTTCTTCAGACTAGAGTTTTGAGTACATATGTTTACTTACCATGTCTTTGTTTCTTCAGACTAGAGTTGAGCAGTGCTGCCTTCACTAGGGCCTTTGTATCAGAGGAAATGGTCTTATTCTCCTTCTTTATTTCCTGCTGGACCTCCTCTTTCATGTGTAATACTGACATAGATGACTGTGGTTCACCACATTCTGACTTAGCACTTGGCATTTCTACATCATTCGTGGGTATCTTCAAACTCTCCTTGTCTAGGGTCACCCTTTCATCATTCTTTTTTACTGTCAAGGGTCGCTTAAATTCATCTTTCGGCTGAATCTGAGGAACAACCTGCAATGCGTCTAATCCAGGCTTGAAGTCTTGTGTCGTGGAACACTCTTGTTTGCAAGGAGCTGACACTGTACACGTTGATTCCCGTGGAACTGGCTTCAGACAGGCACTGAATTTCATTAGTGGGCTCTTTGGCCCATGGTACTCCATGATCTCCTTGTATATAATATTGCGGAGTTTTGTTGTTGTCATCTCCTACATGAAAATAAAAGTCAACATTAGAAGTGTCTTTCACAATGTAACTACCGGTCTGAAAACTATGACAACATCTTTGATTTGATTAGTGAACTGATGGAAAAAGATAAATGACAAAGGTTATTGTTATGTTATTTCTGTATACATGTATAACACACATATTGGTTAATATGTCTATGCTGGAAACATGTAAATATAAACCAGGATTAATCAACAATTTCTCTAGGCGATGGACTGCAGATTCTAAAATTGAATACACCTAGTCCAGTATTTTGTTCTATAATCAAGAAATTACATGGCTTAAATCTTGATACACTTGTTCTTAGATTTAGATTGATCTATGGGAATTCATGACAACATTTGGAAATTTCTTAGTTTATTGGAACTGCTTTTGGACATGATGTAACAGTGACCTTAAGTTTTGATCTATTCAATGCAAAGCCTGTCTATTTACACAAAAAGAAGTGATTGATCCCAGTGGTGATAGTATTGACAGCTTTCACTGTATCAGCTGAAGAGTTAATTTATGATAGACTACTTGTTCACCACACTTCATTACCATAGCTGTACTGGCATGGAGTAGCCAGTTTACCAGATGATTACCCATTCAGATTACACACTCCGCACCATGATCATGGAGTTATACTTATACTTAGCCTAGTTGCATTAATCTCTATAAAACAGCCCCTTGAATAGTTGCATCATCATTTAATGAAGCTTATACTAGAAGAGCTAACTATGTCACAAACCTCATTCTCAAAATCGAAGTTAAATGTTGGCAGACATATTGGTTCATCGTCAGGGTCGTGGTACTTGTTGAGGTAAGGGTGATTGAGAGCATTATCTACAGAGATCCTGTCACCAGGGTGTAGCACCAACATCTTCCCTAAAAAGTCCAGAGACTTCTTACTGGCCTTGGGAAACAGGGTGTTCCAGGCGATGGACTCCTTCTTCCCGAGTTCTGAAGGATATTACATAAATCAGTTAGATTAGTACTTTTACTTTGATGAAATATAACAAGATCCAGGGTCTGGGTCGAAGGCTTGCAGTAAGCTTTTAAATTATTATTCTATGTATAGTCTTACTAACTGTGCTCAGGAATCACTCTAACTTCAAGCATATTTTAATTTCAGGATTTTTTTCCATACTTCTTTTACATAGTCTCAACAATCAGGTGTTTTTAATAAACTCTATTAATTTCTTATTGGGAAACCAATAACTGTATTTCTTTACCAGAAATCAGACGCAACACATGATTTGATTTTTCGCTAAGAGAATAATTTCTCAACTCACTGGTGATAAACTGCTTGATGAGGTCTGATTGACATAACTGAAAAAGTCGATCAGATGGGGAACCCAGTATTCCAACGATCAATTTAATCTGACTGATGTAATCTTTTCCTGCAAAACAACAAAACTAGATTTAAATAAATTAAGTTATAAAATGATAATATTCTAATTCAAATTATTCTCAAAATTGTTATTTAATTACACTAATAAGATCTCAACTAATTCACCCGTGAAGACACATTTTTAACTCTTCTGATTCAAAGGTTGAAACAGTTCATTATGAAATTTCATGGGTGAATGAGTTAATGTACTCAAGTCATTTTCTGCACTGCAGTCAAATCATAAATATTATGATTTTGTAAGCCTTACAAAACAAGTGATATATTTCCGCCCTTTGGCTCTCCAAAATTAGGACACCATAGATAAGCAAAACTTTTTATTCTGCAAAAGATTCTCACAAATACAGTATTTTAGACTTTTATCTTACCTAAAAACCATCAAAAAGTGATCTTTGAAAACTCTGAATCCTATTACTAAAAACATCAGAACATGCGCACCTGGAAAGAGATGTTTGCGTCCCAGCATTTCTGCGAAGATGCATCCAACAGACCACACGTCTACGGCCGCCCCATACTCCACCAATGCCAGCATGATCTCCGGGGCGCGGTACCAGCGTGTCGCTACATACTGCGTCATGAAGTGGTTTGGTTCATCTGGTGATGCAGACACACCTCGTGCCATACCTGTAACACAAATGTGAGTATATGATAACAATTCATCAATTATAGTCACCATTCTTCTCTTTTTGGTTAAATTGAAACATGATGCTTAGTCTTTCCAGATTATCAAAACAATTAACAATTATGAACTATATATGTTATTCATTCAAGCACTTATCATTTATCCCTATGAACTAAACACTTGTGTGTATGCATGATCGTCCTCAAATGATTTACCTAATCAGTTTTTGGGGTCAAATGTGTTACCCCTTCCTTCATAAATTCTAATTCATTTTCCAATTGTTATTCTTTTAGTAGATTCCACATTGTAATATTTTGATTTATTTGGAATTATTTCTCTCTTTTTTCATTGTTCATTTCCTACCATCCTCGTCTAACTCATTCCCCTATTTCTGAAAAGGATGCCTTTTCTCTAGCGAGCTGTGAGGAGAGACAATCACAAAACAAAATAGCTCATCAAAATTTCTTTGGACAGAGCTAAAAAGGGAACATATACTGGGTAGCACTCATTCATGCAAATACAATACTCACAATTATTTTATTTGAAGAACAACAGTGTGAACTTTATTGATAATTGTAGAACATCCAATGATTTACAGTAAGCAAAATCACTGTCTATAACCCTTTTTAAATACTTTACCAAAGTCTCCTATCTTGAGCTGGCAGTCCTCATTGACAAGTAGGTTGCTTGGCTTCAGATCTCGGTGAATAACATTTGCCGAGTGGATGTACTTGAGTCCCCTCAGTAACTGGTAGAGAAAGTACCTCACATGTTCCTCCGAAAGGTCTTGTTTTGAATAGATAATCTTGTGAAGGTCACTTTCCATCAAATCAAACACAACATAAATGTCCCGAAACTCATCCACTGATTCCTTAGGTTTGATGATATCTCTGATAGAAATGATGTTGTCATGTTTGAAATGTTTCAGAATTTTGATTTCTCGATATGTTGTTGTTCCTATTTTACAGTAGTCAAATATCCTGGGGATTTTCTTTATAGCCACACGATCGTGTGACTTTCTGTGAATGGCGGAACACACTACACCATATGCACCTATACCTATATTCTCTACAGCCTGATAGTCAGTGTTGGTAAGGTCAAACTTCACATCTAGAGATTTCTTCTGCACAATGGCCAGCTTTTTCATCAGATTCTCATGGTCATTTGGACGAATTGATGCCATGGTTATGTCAGTCAAACAGGTCTCAGCTCGTATCAAATCTGGTATTTTTGAAATCTTCTCACAACCAATCAACTAGATCTTGGTATTTCCTGTTTCTGAAATTGAGATACAAAATGTATATGACATTGATATCAGAATGGAATGAAGAATACATTTGAGTACATAGTTCTTGAACATAGTCTGATATACAATGGCATGCTTTAAAATACAATTTATATACGGCATATATATTTTTTTTAAATAAATGTCATCTAGAGGCAAAATATATACCTATCCCAGCACATACTGTACATGAACGAAGGGAATTATNGGGGGAGGGGTCCAAATTTCCTGGGGGGGGGTTCCATGTTGGGAAAAATTGAGAAAATTGTTAAAATTCATGATTTTTAAAGAAAATTATCAGGGTGGGAGGGTTTCCTGAAGCCCAAAAAAACCCTCTTGATCCGCCACTGCCTGGGTTGAAGGAATGCATGCCTATCCCAGCACATTCTGTACATGAACGAAGGGAATTATCTCCCCTGGGTTGAAGGAATGCATGCCTATCCCAGCACATTCTGTACATGAACGAAGAGAATGATCACCCATGATCGCTTAATTGGTTAGAGCATCCATCTAGAGTTCAGAGGTCCTTGGTTTGAACGGTTCCGGGTTGTTTCGCCCCAAATCCCGTTCGCCCTAGGTTGTTTCACGCCAGGTTGTTTTGCCCTAAAACAATTTTTTTAGGGCGAAACATTGTTTGCTATTTTCTTTTCATTCTTATTTGTTTTAAGTCACAAATTAAGTCTTCTTAATCTTTCATATCATTAAAATCAGTTTTATTAAAAAAAATATGTGTTTGTGTTGTTTTTAAGTACATTGTAAAGCAAAAAACTGATTACGTTATTTTCTTCACGCCGACACACATTATAACATATATTGAATTTAATTTTAGAAATAAATAAGAATAGTGAAATGAAACAAAAATGGTGTAATTTTAATTACATTGCGGGGTATACAACAATATTATTTTTCCATGTTAACACATTTAGTCTAGTGTACACTAAATATACGATGTAAAGAAAACATCGTCACACGGCGACGATTATCGTCGCCGTGTAACGATGTTTTCTTTACTTGATTTCTGTGCACGTCCGTCTTGTTATTTGCTAATTGGAGGAGATCATTTTGAGAAGTTTTGATAGTACCGACCAATACAAATGCATATGCATATTATTTATATAATTCCGTGATATGTCCATATCTTATCTATATATACGTATCTATGTACTTAGAGAAATTAATTTAGTTTCATTATATGTCCATATCTTATCTATATATTATACGTATCTATGTACTTAAGAGAAATTAATTTAGTTTCGTTATATATCCATAACGTTAAAACATGTACAGGTGCATTTTATAAAGAACAACATTACTGGTTGTAATGTGCAGTATATTCCGGATATAAGTATTTCCGTTGTCGGCTTCGGTGATGAATATACGTATATTATATCTGGATTCAAGAGAAAGAAAAGTTTTTTTTTACTTTTAACATGATATTTATGACTCAAAGATTATTTTTTTTTAGGGCGAAACAACCTGGGGCGAACGGGTTTTGGGGCGAAACAACCCTTAGGGCGAACAGGATTTGGGGCGAAACAACCCGTTACCGTTTGAACCCTGGCCTGGCTTGCTTAAATGTTTTCTTTTCTGTTACATACATGCAGAAACATATAGTATATCAACTAAATATACCCATATAGATGGTATAGGGTCTATGTGACAATGGGGTCAAAGACTTTTTTGAAGGCATTGGAGGAATGTAGTAGAAATGAGCTTGGTCAAGCGCTGGCAACCCTGTTGCTCAATTGGTTAAAGAGTCCATTTAGTCCCGAGTTCTGAATCCCAGTCTTGCTGTTGCTTTTGTATTAATAAACCTCTACACACCAGTAAATGATAGCAACAGTTTTATCCGGTGTTTATACACATTCTTAAACCTTATAAAAATTGCGGGGACCGAGGTATAAGGTGTGTATAATTACCGAGCCCCTGTGGCTTCCTCTAATTAGTGAATTGAAATGATTTATTTCTTCTACGAACTTAGATAGGCATAGATAATCAAAATCCCCTGACTTGAAACGTTGTGTTGGAGTCCAAATGTATCATAGCAAGTTCTTGATCTGCTCTACTGAATAGATGTTTTGGCAGAGTGGTGTACTGGGGAACACATACAAATGATATGGCACTGGGAACACATACAAATCATTGAAATAAACCATAGCACAACATTAGTGGACTGATATACACTACAAAACTACATAACAGTAACATTGTAAGGATTCTTCATCTAATGCAAGGTCAAGAGCCGAAACATGGGGTCCGGAAACAGGTGTCTACTTGCTTCCCGTAAAAATGACAGGTATCGGTATCTTCAGATAAAGACGATATACCGACACCTTGCTATTACCGTTTAATTCATTGTCAATTACATGTGTTTATACATACTACAGTAGTATATAGCCCGTGGAGATTATAGCATACCTAGCTTCATCATATATCAGCTGTCTTCGAGTTTTCCTTGCGTTACTATTTTTAGTTTAGACTCATTCGATGAAGATAGGGAAACAAGGGAAGTAATAATTATTTTTCAAATGGCGGGAAATTCAATTTTTAATGTCTCTTTTGTGGAACTGTTGTAAACAAAACTTTGTGCTAATTCCTACCTGATGTGGAGAAATCTATTAAAAACTTTCCCGTTTTATTTCAAAATATGGCTGTTTACCTCAATATTTGATCAAATTAATTCATAAACTTTACTGTACACCAAAAATCACATAAAAATTCCTGTACAAGCATGTTTAAGCCGGAGACGGGAGTTATTTTTGAGTTTTCTGTGGTTTGGACATTACTTTCATAGCTCAAATAATGACTTTTAAACTCTTCATATCCATACAGACACTGTGTTTCTCACTTTACGTTCAGTGCGTATTGTAGGTACCTGGAGTGGAAAAGTGCTGATTCTGCTACTTTTAGCAATGATTGCATCAAGGGTCATCCTTTGATTGCCTGAGAGTTGTATGGAGCCCAGGATTCAAACTACACGTAGTCCTCAACCTATGAGACAAGTGAGTTTTTTTTACTTGCCAACGAAGTAATTTTGAAAAAAAAATGTTGAACATAAGTGATCCTGAGTGAAAATAGTTTGATAGTTACATAGTTTTTCTTTCTTTCCATTTTGTTTTTGTAGGCAATGGATCCCCAAATCTAAAAAAATATTGACTGATTTATCATCCTGGTTGATGTACTAGCTACAGCTTGTAAATCTGTACATTGTATCATAAACTGCCAACAGTATCCATATGGCCCTTTTCTCATTTATTCAGTTTGTCTGTTTTCATATGAAACATTTTCGGGTTTAAATCCTGGCGAACGTGCAAATGTTGATGCAGGCCTTGCAAGGCTTCGTCAAGGCTCACCACTTATTGAAAGCAGCATCAGATTACTAGGTCTTATTCCGTACGAACAGCTCTGGTCCAACCATATGGATTGTGATAAACGAATGCGGCCATATTTTTCTATAAACTGACTTAAGAGGTCTATAAAAAAGAGGCCCTCTGGGCCTCTTTCACTCACCTGGATACCTAAGCAATCATGGCAAGATATTCTCCAAATGAGATCAAGGGAATATGCCAGACCCCATTAGGTCATTAGGTGGGGATCTCAACTGTTTCCAAGCTTTGACTCAGAAACTAGGTCCCTAGGGTTGTGGCCAGACCCTAGGATCAATTCTAATATTGTGACTGCATGTCATTTTTTGCCCAGCATTTGTATATATAGTTTTGGGGTGGGAATCTCAACCGTTTCAAAGTGACCCAGGGGTTAAGTCTGCAAGGGTGGGGCAGATCCTTGGGTCAATTCTAATATCATGACTGCATTCGTCTCTTTATGCTCAACAATTGTATATATAGTTTTGGGGTGGGGATCTTAACCATTTCAAAGTTATGACCCAGGGGTTAAGTCTACAAGGGGGGGGCAGTCCCCAAGGCCATCCTGGAAGCATATGTGCAATCATCTCTTTATACTCAGCAATTGTATATACGGTTATAGGGGGGGCCTCTCAACTGTTTCCAAGCTTTGACTAAGAAACTAGGTCCCAAGGGGCTCGGTAAGACCCCAGGGTCTATTCTGATATCATGACTGCATTCGTCTCTTTATGCCCAGTATTTGTATGTATAGTTTTGGGGTGGGGATCTCAACCGTTTTAAAGTTATGGCCCAGGGACTATGTGTCAAAGGGTAGGGCCAGACCCTAGCGCCATCCTGGAAGCAAATGTGCATTTTTCTCTTTATACTCAGCAATTGTATACCATGGTTTTATGGTGGGGATCACAACCATTTCCAAGTAATACACTTTTTTTGGCCCCAACCCTTAGCCCGGGGGGTCAGCCCCACCATTTGTAAAATTTTGAATCCCTGCCTCCCATGAATGTATCCGACCAAATATGATCAATATCAATGGCATAGTTCTACAGAAGAAGTTGTTTATAGCAATATAGCCTGGGGGTCAGCCCCACCATTTGTACAATTTTGAATCCCCACCACCTAGGGATGATTCCAGTTAAATATCGATGATATCCATCTCTTAGTTCCAGAGAAGAAGTCTCTTAAAGCAATATAGCCAAATAACCCTTTTTGGCCCCGCCCTCAGCCCCCTGGGGGGTCAGCCACACCATTTGTACAATTTTGAATTCCTGCCTCCTATGAATGCTTTTGATCAAATATGATTGATTTCTAGTGCACAGTTCTTCAGAAGAAGTCGTTTGAAGCAATATAGCCAAATTGCCCCCTTCTGGCCCGACCCTAAGCCCCCTTGGGGGTCAGCCCCACCATTTGTACAATTTTGAATCACCACCACCTAGGGATGCTTCCAGTCAAATATGGATGATATCCACTTGTTAGTTCCAGAGAAGAAGTCGCTTAAAACAATATAGCCAAATACCCTTTTCGGCCCCCGCCCCTCAGCCCCCTGGGGGGTCAGCCACCTCATTTGTACAATTTTGAATCCCTGCCTCCCAAGAATGCTTTTGATTAAATATGATTGATATCCAGCGCACAGTTCTACAGAAGAAGTCGTTTGTAGCAATATAGCCAAATTGCCCCCTTTTGACCCCATCCCTCAGCCCCCTGGGTGGTCAGTCCAACCATTTGTACAATTTTGAATTTCCACCACCTAAGGATGCTTCCAGTCAAATATGGTTGATATCCATCTCTTTGTTCCAGAGAAGTCGCTTAAAGCAGTATAGCCAAATTGACCTCTTTTTGCCCCGCCCTTCAGCCCACTGGGGGGTCAGCCCCACCATTTGTACAATTTTGAATCCCCAACACCTAGGGATGCTTCCAGTCAAATATGGTTGATATCCACTTCTTGGTTCCAGAGAAGAAGTCGCTTAAAGCAATATAGCCAAATTGACCCCGCCCTTCAGCCCCACCATTTGTACAATTTAGAATCCCCACCACCTAGGAATGCTTCCAGTCAAATTTAGTTGAATTCCATTTAGTGGTTAAGAAGTAGAAGTCATTTAAAGAAATTGTTAACGTACGGACAGACGACGGCGTAATGGTATGGCATAAGCTCACCTTGGTCCTTCGGTGAGCTAATAAATGTGTAGTCAGATAGCCGTTATTTGTGTTATCTTTCTGGTGTTGAAATGTTTTTCATGTCTATTCCTTTTAATATGAAAAACAGTCAATAGAAATATTCCCTAGTTTTTTTCTGACTGATATACACAGACCTACCAATGATAAGTTGTAGATATCTAACCACTTCACATCCTTCCTATATATTTTCACTACATTTCTTCTTGTAAACAGAACTCAAAAGCACAGGGACCTGAGAATATTTGTTACAGTATAGCTATGTTTGGAAGTAAGCTGATTTGTTCAGAGTAGTATTAAGACATTTAGATTTAAACCACCAAGTTCAAGAAAGTTATGTACCTATCTATATACACATATTACTTACACGCTAAAACATTTTTTAAGGATCAGTCTTTAATTTCCAACGTCATTGTACACTGTACCACATTTGGCCTTCCCTCCTTTTATCACTGCCCTGACAGGTGATAACAGGTTTGAGGTTCTTTTAACAGCTAGCTTAGGTCATATGAAGACAGATTAATACAAGAGATCCCAGAGGGATCTTGGCGCCCACCTTTGTACCATCTTCATCAGTTCTTGTCAATTCAATCTTTTCTCTTCTTTCCTCTAATCTGTTTGATAAAGTCATTTTAACAGTAAATGCACCTTAAGGTAACTTTTGATCTAAACTTAATACTGATGTGTATGAAAGCCAACCTTCAAAGTGAGTTTGTCATTTCACATATTTACTAGTACAGTACTTAATGTGAAAGAAATAGAATCGATCATTGCAATATGAGAAAGATCTGTTTAGTTCTTTTTTAATCCATTTTGTTTTTATGATCAGTCTCAAAATATAACATGCACAACAAGGGATCAAGGGGAACCTAAATATAAAATTTGAGAAAGATCCCTCCCATACTTTCTGAGAAATAGGGATAACAAACTTTCACTATCAAAATCCAAGATGGCTGCCTGTCGGCCATGTTGTTTATCCGATCAGTCTCAAAAGTTGCCCTGCACAGCTTAGGACCAAGGGGAACCTACATATAAAATTTGAGAAAGATCCCTCTGGTACTTCTGGAGAAATACAGATAACAAGAATTGTTTAAGGACGGACGACGGACCATGGACGCAGGGTGATTTGAATAGCCCACCATCAGATTATGGTGGGCTAAAAAGACATCTAAGAAACTAATAGGGATGTATACTTTACTTCCAATGTCACAATACTAAAGAAAATACTCATCTTTATAAAGTTTGTTAAAAGTTTTTGGTCCTTGAGTACAATACTTTGGGTACTCTCAAGGTCCTGACATGAAAGAATATCTTCAAGATAGCAAAGCACTGACTTAAGTTTTAAATATTTTATTTATTTTAATGAATTTTAAGAAAGAGAGAGAGAGAGAGAGAGAGAAAACAGAAAAATCATTTCCAGTTTTTATTTCACCATCTGTTACATAATCACATACAACTTTTTGCATGAAAATACTAAATATTTTGTTAAAAAAGTTTGCCTTATACACCTATGAAACTTATACCAAAGATTTGACTGTTTCTTGTCAGTTACACACGCTAATGTAGAAGTAATGTCAACATTTTGCTCACCAAGCAAAATAAAATGTACAAATTCTGTTCACATTATTCACTCATACAATGTTTTAATTTGGTTTTTACTTGCAACCTGTCTACAAGATAATTATTTAAATACAAAATATGTATGAAACACTGATGTATCCTTCAAAATTTCAGAAGGAATAATTTACCAATTTTGTTTATGATACCAGTATTAAAGTATTTTCAAAGAGAGCAAATAGGAATTTCACTTCAAGAAGAAAGTATAATCAGATCATATATTGTATCTCTTTCCGTACACAACAAGTTTTTTAAAACACTGATTCACAGACACATATATGCTCATCAGGCTAACAAAGTTAATTCAGTTCTACACAGCTTCATATGCACACACATTCAAATACCCTTACAAAAGTAATTGCTGACACCCACACATGGACACCTTCACACACATACTGTGACATTATATATCATATGCACACATTCCTGTTTTGTCTTCATACTCATGTTTCCACTCAATATCACGAGTCCTGTATGAAATCCCTTAAACTCTCATTAAAATTGACATGAACATCCATTGTCTGACTTTTACACAACATCCATCATCTGACTTTTACACAACATTCATCATCTGACTTTTACACAACATCCATCATCTGACTCATCCATCATCTGACTTTTACACAACATCCATCATCTGGATTTTACACATCATAGTTTTTGACTAACATCCCGAGGTCTGTACATGATTCCTTTCCTCTTCAGCTCCCTGACAATTCCCGGAGGAAGCCGTCCTGTCACAGACAAGGCATAACAGCCCTTTACAAACCGACCTACAATTTCAAAATACAAACCATCATATACATTTAAGTAGCAAACAAAATAGGAAAGCCTTGTGAACAAGTTTTAATTTTGAGTAACTAAACTTATCTCCCTTTTCAAAAACATGTAAAAATGTTTTATCACTGCCTGAAAACATTTGTCACAGCCTGTTGCTATGGAATTATCATTATTTTGCATATTGTAGTAGTGATGTAATAAATTGTGATACCTACCTATCCTTTGCCACTTAGCCACCCAGCTGTCATCACCACTCATCATGGCTACCATTCTAAAGGGGAAAAAATCTTATAAGTGGAGCTCATCAAAATATACAATTCAATCATCAGTGTTTTTCAATGGCTTTCACATTCATGATTATCTGTTGTTTATGTATTAAATTACATGCATATTAACCTGGTGTCTAAATATATAGTAATATATATGTAAAGAAATGGAATTGGACCTACTAAAATACATGCCTGTTTTAATGGACGGTTAAATGACCACTCTGACTAACAGAGGGTGATTTTTGTTTTGTAATCCTCATATGTAAAATGTGAATCCAAAACAGCTGTAAACAAGTTCACTGTAGCCTAGCATATAACAACAAAGAGGCCCAGAGGGCCTGTATCGCTCACCTGAATATATTTTAAGTAATTGGTATGAAGTAAAGATATAGCACTCCATGGTAGGTGCTGTAAGTACATATGAAATTTCAGAAAGATCCATCCAGTACTTCAGATATAGAGAACAAACTTCAAACAGAGCCCCACCCCTATGTCCCTACGGGGGTCATACCCACCGATGATACAAAATTGAGTCACCGTCACCCAAGGATGCTCCACACTAAATAAGGATAAAATCCCTTAATCCCTATGGTAGAAGAAGGATTTTAAAGGTATACCTCTATTTTCCCTATTGGGCCCCGCTTCTCTGCCTACAGAGGGGTCAGACACACCGTTTATACAAAATTGGTTCCCCTTCACCCAAGAATGCTTCAGACCAAATATGGACAAAATCCTGTCATTCCTACTGAAGAAGAAGGATTTTGAAGATTTACATCTATTTCCCCTATTTGGCCCCACCCCTCAGGTCCCAGAGGAGCCACACCCACCTTTTAAACAAAATTGGTTCCCCTTTACCCAAGGATGTTCCACACCAAATATGGACCAAATCCTTTCATTCCTACAGAAGAATAAGGATTTTAAAAAATAATTTGCTATGTTTCCCCTATTGGGCACTGCCCCTCAGGCACCTGGGGGGCCAGATCCAAGGGGTATACAAAATTGGTTCCCCTTCACCCAAGAATGCTTCAGACCAAATATGGGACAAATCCTTTCATTCCTACAGAAGAAGGATTTTCAAGAATTTGCTATATTTCCCCTACTGGGCCCTGCCCCTCAGCCCCCAGGGAGGCCAGACCCACCATTTATACAAACTTTGTTCCCCTTCCCCCAAGGATGCTTCTGATCAAATATGGACCAAATCCTTTCATTCCTACAGAAGAGGAAGGATTTTAAAGAATAATTTGCTATGTTTCCCCTATTGGGCCCCGCCCCTCAGGCCCCTGGGGAGCCGGACCCATGGTTTATAAGAAATTGGTTCCCCACTACCCAAGGATGCTCCACACCAAATATGGAACAAATCCTTCCATTCCCACAGAAGAAGAAGGATTTTAAAGAATAATTTGCTGTTTCCCCTATTGGGCCCCGCCTCTCAGCCCCCAGGGGGGCCAGACCCACCATTTATACAAACTTTTTTCCCCTTCCCCCAAGGATGCTTCTGACGAAATATGGAACAAATCCTTTCATTTCTACAGAAGAAGAAGGATTTTAAAGAAGAATTTGCTATATTTCCCCTATTTGGCCCACCCCTCAGGCCCCTGGGGGGCCAGACCCACCATTTATACAAAATTGGTTCTTCTTCACCCAAGGATGCTCCACACCAAATATTGTTAAAATCCGCTCAGTGGTTCATGACTAGTAGTGTAAAGTTGACAGACGACGGACGCAGGACAACGGACGCTGCAGTATGGCATAAGCTCACATTGGTCCTTTGGACCAGGTGAGCTAAAAACAAATTTATAACATAATATGCCCCTACTCAAGATTTGACAGAAATGAAGCTAAAACAAGGTATAGCCAAAGTCAGTGAAGCAGAAAATAGAGGGTCACAGTGACCTACATTTGATATAGTTGTGTACTATTTGTGAAGAATAAGTAAAAAGATGACTGGACAACATCCACTTGTAGTTACTTGGCAAATTTATTGCAGTTTATTTGTGAAGATGTATTCAAATTTCAGCAATTATTGTAATGGTTCTAAACAAAACTCCAAGATGTTATATTGACGGACATACTAAAGAAGGCAAACACTTCATTCCCTCAAATAGGTGTCAGGGACCATAAAAATCAAAACAAGAGGCCCAGAGGGCCCGTATCGCTCACCTGGATATCTAAACAATCATGGCAAAATATTCTCCAAATGAGATCCAAGGGAATATGCCAGACTCCAAGGCCAATCCTTGTAGCATATCTGTATTAGATTTTTCATGCCCAGCAATTTAATGTATGGTTATGGGGGGGGGATCTCAACCGTTTTACAAGCTGTGACTCAGAAACTAGGTCCCTAGGGTTGTGGCCAGACCCTAGGATAAATTCTAATATCATGACTGCATTCCTCTCTTTATGCCCAATAGTTGTATATGTAGTTTTGGGGTGGGGATCTTAACCATTTCAAAGTTATGACCCAGGGGTTAAGTCTCCAAGGGTGGGGCAAACCCTGGCGTCTGACCCACCACTTAGCCGGGGGGTTAGCCCCACCATTTGTACAATTTTGAATCACCACCACCTAGGGATGCTTCCAGTCAAATATGGTTGTTATCCATATCTTAGTTCCAGAGAAGAAGATGCTTAAAGCAGTACATGAATAGCAAAATAACCCTTTTTGGTCGCGCCCCTTAGCCCCCTGGGGGGTCAGCCACACCATTTGTACAATTTTGAATCCCTGTCTCCCAAGAATGCTTTTGATCAAATATGATTGATATCCAGTGCATAGTTCTACAGAAGAAGTCGTTTGTAGCAATATAGCCAAATTGCCCCCTTTTGACCCCGCCCCTCAGCCCCACCATTTTGAATTCCTGCCTCCCATGAATGCTTTTGATGAAATATGTTCGATAACCAAGCCCAGTTCTACAGAAGAAGTCGTTTGTAGCAATAAAGCCAAATTGCCCCCTTTTTGCCCTGCCCCTCAGCCCCCTGAGGGGTCAGCCCCATCATTTATACAATTTTAGATCTCCACTGCCTAGGGATGCTTCCAGTCAAATATGTTTGATATCCACTTCTTTGTTCCAGAGAAGAAGTCGCTTAAAGCAATATAGCCAAATTGCCCCCGTCCCTCAGCCCCCTGGAGGGTCAGCCCCACCATTTGTACAATTTTGAATCCCCACCACCTAGGGATGCTTCCAGTCAAATTTAGTTGAATTCCAATCGGTGGTTAAAAAGAAGAAGTCGTTCATAAAGAAATTGTTGACGTACGGACGCCACGGCATAAGCACACCTTGGTCCTTCGGACCAGCTGAGCTAATAATACACACCCATCGAAATTAGCACTAGTGCAGTCATACACTGCATCCCTGTTATTCTTCATATGTAACTGTTCTTCACAGTTGTCACAGCCATCCAGTTCAAATTGGTCAAATGTCTGTAAAATTAAAAAAAAAAACATTCAATTGAACACAAAGTTTTTCTCAAAACGAGGAACTGTCAATGGTGGTACTGCCATATTTTGCTTCTTTTGATGCAAATTTTGTGAACTGTAACATTTAAAACTTCCGCCCAAAAATTTGGAACCAGACAAGGCACAGGTGGGTACAGATGCTGGACACTCGAAAAAAACACTTCTTATAGTGTTCAGCATCTGTGGTTGGAACTGGAAGCACGGTCCGTAAAAAAACAGACCATCAACAACATCATATTGCACACACACATAAATAAGGTATATAAAAGGTTTAAATGTCAAAACTCTCCTCAAATTAAGGATGGACACTTTATAATATTATTGGTTCTAAAAATAAGAAGATTGAGAAATGTCAACAAAGCAACCCCACCCCCGGGTATCAGCATCTTATCTACGACATATCATTGTTCATTGAAGTTAGATGACATCAATTAAGCTGTCATATAGAAATACCAGTTTCCAATAAACTACCTTTACAAGTGAACAGAACAAACAGGCTCGGAGGTTTCTGTTAGGATCCTTTGGAATAGTTTCCAGCGACATGTTTCTTCAACAAGCGTTTAAAAGATAATGCAGGTTCCGGTTTAGCGCAGTGATATTAAAGAAAATAGTTCTTTTAAATGACAATGTCAATTTGAATAAAAATCACCTTTTATAACAATTTTAACATAAAAAGATAAATAAAAATATTCGAATTTGACAAATGTACTGATATTTATTGTTATTACATCAGTTTTGTGTAATTTAATCTGACATCTTACCGGAACGCGTAAAGATAATATTTAGGTGTTGTTCGGTCCATCACCTAAGTCGACTGTGTTAGTGACGGTGGATCTATCCAGCCGAACTTGTCCAAAATTTCTTGTCATGTTGACGTGAGATTATGAGAAAGTTAAAAACAGACAGTATAATTGAGTGTTCATGTTGATACTTACGTTCATTTGGAATACACTGTTTGTGAATTAATGGTTTGGCACTAGGCCATTGATCGTTTGATGCTTATCTTTGTGACAGGCATCAGCTGATGATTTCATTATGTGCTCGTGTGTGATTCATTTGTTTTATTGGCGAGTAGTGACTAAAAGTGCAAACATTTTAAGAAAACATAATTCTCACTGATGAAGCCATTTGAAAATAAAAGGTTGTCATTCCTTATACATAAAATCAAAATCTGAGCTAAATTCAAATGCTATTTTTGGATTTTTTTATCTGAAAGTAATCATGGGGTTTTGTGGCTCAAGAGATGATGCTTTAAGAGTGGACAATGGGGTCTTACAAAATGAATGTTTTGTTGATGTACTCAACATTGTACCACATGCGATATTTCTCTTAATAAGCGTGTTTATCCTCATTGTTTGGAACCGGTCAGTGCTGGGTCAGCTTCATGTAACAACATGGGTGCACTATCATGGACACTCCCTCCGATGGATAGTCACCCTGATACTGGTGTTGAGCTGTAGTGTGGGGATCGGAGAAGGTGTGATGTCAGATTACATGGACCAGGATACCATCAATGTGCACACATTCCTCCCACAATGCCTGGCCCTGGTTGCAGCTTTGGGAAGTCTTGCCTATTATCACAATGTAGAACAATGGAACTCGCCAAGATTTCTGCTCGTATTGATGGGATACTGGTTATCCATGATTGTCCTTAAATTCTTGAAAGCATTTTCTCTGTACAAAAATGATGTGACACATGTTCACCTTCGAGTCTGGCTCACCTGGTTTGATGTGTTCCTGTATCTGATACTGCTGGTAGTTGAACTCAATGTTCTAAGAATACAGGTGCATATATTTTGTGTGCAATATTTTGCTAGCACTACCAATAGTAAGATGTCATTGAAGTTTATTTGTTGTTTGTATTTAGGTGTATTCCTTTCTAATCGGAATATCATCATAACAATTCTCAAAAAAAGGGTATATCAGTATTATGACATAAACTAAAAAAATCTAATTTTGTGAAGGAGTCACATTACAATACTTCTTAATGCTTAATCTCAATATGTTTATATGAAAATAGAATTATTGAATTTCCCCTCAAATATAAAAAAAAAGTAACTGCATGACATTGTGCTTTACGTCCTATTATACAACTATGGTAATTTAAGGACATGCCAAGTTTTGGTGGTGGAGGAAAGCCAGAGTAAATAGGGGGGAAAACCAACGGTATAAGAATATTATCATCTGCTTTTCTTTCTCAGAAGTATGCATTCTTCAAGACGTATATACCTGCCCACTCATCAAAAGATCTAGGGACATCCAGGTATATACATGACCATGTCAACCTCATCTCCAAAGTAACATTTTGGTGGCTCAACTCCACTCTTCTTGAAGGCTACAAAACCCCTCTGGAGATGGAGGATCTGGGCCCATTACCAAAGGTCAGATCCTGTCCGTTTGCAAAATTTTGCAATTTTACTTGTTGATTTAAAGACATTTATGAAATTGAAAGTTATTTAAGCTGTCTGCATGTCACTTACGCACAATACTTTATATTATGCATGTATATAACTAAATATTATATCTAATAAATTTGAAATGGAAGAATTGACAAGTATCAATCCTAGTTTACATGATAGAATTAACTATAATTACAAGCAGCTATATCTGTATATTAAAGTATAATATGTCCTCAAATAACTTCAAAAGTTTGATACATTGATTGAATTCTCTTTGCTTTAATCTCTTTAATCACAATGTTCTACTTAAATATGGAATGTACTACCGGTATTTCTGTATGACTGTAAATGTACCAGTTGTTACTGTGTGATTTGTTTTTTACGACTGTTGGATTTGTTACAAGAATGAGGGAGCTGTTACCCAGTATGCTAAACTACATGCTGCATTTGAAGAAGAAAAGGTATACTATTCTGCTTTCATTACATATGTCAATGCTATGTCCCTTTTCAAATAACTAATTACAATTATATTTATTCTTTTAAACCTGAAGAGCCCTGTGAAGGGTGAAAGCAGCTAGTTTTTTAGTCAGTTGTTAATCTTATTTTTTCTATATATATATATAATATATATAATTTGGATTATTGCAGAACCTTTAAAATACTTGTGTACTGTATTTGACCTTGGGCGTTATTTTTTTCAGTATAAAGCATCATGCAGAAATCAATCCCCTTCCTTTCACAAGACCTACCTGAGAGCCTTTGGACCAATGTTGGTATTTGCTGGAGTATTGCGGTTTTTTGGTGTCCTCCTCTCCTTCGTAGGACCCTGGTGTATAGAACACATCGTTGACTACACGTACAAAGTTCAGTCTCCGACCAACATCAGCCAGAGTGTCCCTCCCATACAAACCTATGGAGTAAACAATTCCGCTGCAAACTCAACAGTCTTTACACAGCCCAATACAAAGGTTGTCACTTTGTTTTGCTTTTATCTTCCTAGCAATAGGATGATTTCATACACTTCAATGTTATATTGTGAAGTACAAACATGAAATACATTTCTGACAATTTCTTTCTGTTGTCATTATTGTTATCAAAGTACATGTACAGTTTGTTATGTTTTAGATCCTGAGATGTTATTTCCTTTCTTTTTATTTCCACTGGTGATAAAAGTTTTTTAACTAGATACAACATATGAATACCAAATGGAGGCCACTGCAAAAGCAAGGGACATTAACAGAATTAATTTACATCTAGGTTATGTAGTGGAGTTGAAAAAATGTGAAGGAATCTTGATGTAAAAGTGCGATATCACGAAGTGGCATGTACTGTATATTGCATTGTTTGATTTTACAGAACACCCTGTTGTATGTGGATGTGTCCAGCTTTTTCTCCAACGGTTATGTGCTGTGTGTGATCCTGTTTATAGGCACACTGTTGGAACACACTATGATGCAGAACCATCACTTTATTGTCATCAGACAAGGCATTAGATTAAGGGCTGCACTACAGGTTAGTACAGGTCAGAGATCAGTAGGGTTTACAGGTCAGTAGGGGTCAGAGATCAGTAGAAGATCACAGGTCAGAGATCAGTAAGGCTCACAGGTCAGTAGGGGCCAGAGATCAGTAAGGTTTACAGGTCATTTGGAGTCAGAGATCACCAGAAGATCACAAGTCAGAGATTAGACAGGTTTACAGGTCAGTTGGAGTCAAAGATCAGTAAGGTTTACAGGTCATTTGGAGTCAGAGATTAGTAAGGTTCACAGGTCAGTTGGAGTCAAAGATCAGTAAGGGTTACAGGTCATTTGGAGTCAGAGATTAGTAAGGTTTACAGGTCGGTTGGAGTCAAAGATCAGTAAGGTTTACAGGTCAGTTGGAGTCATAGATCAGTAAGGTTTACAGGTCATTTGGAGTCAGAGCTCACCAGAAGATCACAAGTCAGAGATTAGTAAGGTTTAAAGGTCAGTTGGAGTCAAAGATCAGTAAGGTTTACAGGTCAGTTGGAGTCATAGATCAGTAAGGTTTACAGGTCATTTGGAGTCAGAGATTAGTAAGGTTTACAGGTCGGTTGGAGTCAAAGATCAGTAAGGTTTACAGGCCATTTGGAGTCAGAGATCACCAGAAGATCACAAGCCAGAGATTAGTAAGGTTTACCGGTCAGTTGGAGTCAAAGATCAGTAAGGTTTACAGGTCATTTGGGGTCAGAGATCACCAGAAGATCACAGGTCAGAGATTAGTAAGGTTTACAGGTCGGTTGGAGTCAAAGATCAGTAAGGTTTACAGGTCATTTGGAGTCAGAGATCGCCAGAAGATCACAGGTCAGAGATCAGTAAGGTTTACAGGTCATTTGGAGCCAGAGATTAGTAAGGTTTACAGGTCATTTGGAGTCAGAGATTAGTAAGGTTTACAGGTCAGTTGGAGTCAAAGATCAGTAAGGTTTACAGGGCAGTTGGAGTCAGAGATCACCAGAAGATCACAAGTCAGAGATTAGTAAGGTTACAGGTCAGTTGGAGTCAAAGATCAGTAAGGTTTACAGGTCAGTTGGAGTCAGAGATCACCAGAAGATCACAAGTCAGAGATAAGTAAGGTTTACAGGTCAGTTGGAGTCAAAGATCAGTAAGGTTTACAGGTCAGTTGGAGTCAGAAATCAGCAGAAGAACACAAGTCAGAGATCAGTAAGGTTTACAGGTCATTTGGGGTCAGAGATCAGTAGAAGATCACAGGTCAGAGATCAGTAAAAGATCACAGGTCAGAGATCAGTAAAAGATCACAGGTCAGAGATCAGTAAAAGATCACAGGTCAGTACAAGTCAGAAATCAGTTAGGTTTACACTTAAAGAGGGGCCAGATATCACTAAAGTTTCACAAGTCAGTACAGTTCAAACATGAAAGCTCACATTTCTTTACTGGTCCAAAACTTCTACAGTTCACAGACAATTACAAGTCTGTAATCAGTAAGGGTCACAGGTCAGAAATTAATATAGTTCACATGTCAGTACAGGTCAGGAATTAGTAAGGTTCTTAGGTCAGTAGCTGTAGGGGTCTTGTAATATTAGAAAGATGCACAAGTCAGTGCTAGAGTCACAGACAGATAAACAAGTCGATATGTTTTATATATACATATGTATCACAACTTGGCTGGTTAATGTTTATAAAGTCATAGGTCAGAATCCTATATGAGTCATCTGTCATTTGATAAGTGTGTCAAAAATGTCAGATCAGGCATATCAATTTCCAGTATTTTGCCTTAATCTAAATGCAGATATCTTATCAATATGTAGGAATGGTAATAGGTATTCTCTCCATGTTTCAGACAATGATATTTGGTAAAGCATTAAAGATGTCCAGTCTGGTCATCAACAGTGGAAAGATGACCATTGGCCAGATCATGAACCACATGTCCATGGACACCATGTTCCTCATGTATCTCTTCTTCTTCATTCACTTCATCTGGGGCGGTCCACTACAGGTAAACACATATGTCTAAAGGTAAACATCTACATCTCTACAGGTTGCATATATCTAAAGTAAAAACATCTCTACAGGTTGCACATATCTAAAGTAAAAACACCTCTACAGGTAAACACCTACCTGTTTACAGGTAAACACATTCATGTATAAAGGTAAACACCTACATCTCTACAGGTTGCATATATCTAAAGTAAAAACACCTCTACAGGTAAACACCTACCTGTTTACAGGTAAACACATTCATGTCTAAAGGTAAACACCTTCATCTTTACAGGTTACATATCTAGAGTTAAAAAAAAACTACAGGTAAACGCCTACATTTCTAAAGGAAAACACCTTCATATTTACAGGTTTATTTATGTATGAGTCTCGCCCTCAAACATATTACATTTACAATACATTCAAACTAAAATAAACATAAAACATTGTGAGGCCCCTCTATATAGAGTTATGGGAGGCTATCATTGATAAAATCACAGAATATACATAAATAGGCATAAAATGGACAGATAATAAACATATTTATCACATAACTTGCCCGTTAATGCCATAAATGTGTACATGTCAAATATATCGTAAGAGATGCACATGTGCAAAAACGCCACTGTGACGTCACAATTACTTATGAAGTCACAACAGATATATACGTATGCCGCAGATTGTCACTGCATACTGCCGAGTCGAGACTGGTCTGTCCGATGTAGAAATGAACCTGAAAGTTTTCATTGATAATATTATAGGTATGCATTATGTGATAAACAGAGTCTTACACTCGGTTACACATCGAAAGTAAAAACACTTCTACAGGTAAACACCTATACCTATTTACAGTCAGGTTAGTATATATAAACACCGAACTCATTATGTACAAGTCTCCAAAATAAACCTGTGTCTATGTTGTAGATTATGATTGCCCTCCTGCTGATGTACTACAAACTTGGCTGGAGTGCTGTGATCGGAGGGTCCCTGGTTATACTGGCTGCTCCTCTCCAGTACTTCACCGGTAACGGTCTCTCAAACATCCAGAAGAAATGTATGGTAAGTACCTTACTGCTTGTAGATAGATGCTCATAGCAATAGGGATGTAGTTCACAGCTTTTAAAACATCAGTTATGCTAACAAGTTTTTTTCTGGACACTGTGTATTCTTAAGGTACAGATTTTAACTGAATTCATTATTGTATTGATGTAAATTAATTTTCTACCAGCATGGTTTTCATTATTCACTTGATTAAGTACAACGTTTTTAACTTTCCAGGCAAAAGCAGATAACAGAGTGAAGAAGACCAACGAGGTTATACAGGGTATTAGTGTGGTAAAGCTGTTGGCATGGGAACCATTTTTCAACAACAGCATAACTGAGACCCGTGCAGATGAATTGAAATGCTTGTACTTCAACTCAATATTCAGAGTTCTATTGTGTAAGTTTTGCATACTCTTATTAAGTGTGGTTGTGTTAAAACTGCATTTTAACAATTATAACTATCTCGTTTTTTTCTCATTTCCGCAACAAGATATAGGTCTCGCTCTGTGATTGGTTTTAGCCTCCATGGTATCAACAATACGATTGTTCACCTCCAGATCTCCAAAAATGTGTTACTGTATCACTACAAAACTGAAACAATAATTCTAGGAATTAACATAATGTTGCAACAGCCAATTTCAAACTTGCTTCCAAACATTTTAGACTCGAATCTGGACACTAGACTTTGTCATTGATAAGTTTTTGCCAGTCTTGATTAGAATCATACCTGTGCTCCGTTGATACACTCTAATGTTGGATTTGTCAACATTGCATTAGGGTCATGTCCTGGTGACCTTCATCTCCATAATTTGATGCTTCATTTGTTTTCGATTATGAAGAATTTTAAGGGAGTTGCATTGATTGGCTGCAATAAAAGATCATCAAAGCATGACCCCTGCTGTGGTTTTGTTGGATCCTGCGCTATACTACAATTTACATTATATCAGTACAGAATGGTTTGATTCAGATTAAGTTCTCCCAAAATAGGTCTAAAAAATATACCTTTTGACCCATATTTCATGAAAGTATTATGTGAAAACAATGAACCTAATATTATTGTATTATTGTATTACAATTTATATTATTGTATTACTATATGGGGCAAAGAAGTAATTCCAACAGTGTGGACAAGTTTAGGTTGTCAAATTTTCGGAGCGATCCGTTCCTTTTTCAAGACACAGTGAAACAGAACAGTTACATGTACATATGTATTTTTGTATTACTATAGATATTACTATTGCTATCTACTGTCTGGACCTTGTCATTCTTGTTCGTACTGTGTGTTTATCTCTGTTACAGCTATTATTGGTGTTGCTGTACCTGCCATAGGAACAATGGTGGTAAGTAAACATTTTACTTTGATACACACTTGCTCAAATAGAAACTTGCCCAAGTTTCACGAATATTTCTCAACTTACAGATATTCCTTAACTTAGGTTTTCCACAATGATGAAGTTTTAAAGATGCAAACTTTAAGCCTGTAAAGTTGAAATCTGGCTTTCACAGGGTATAAGGTGTGCTTTATACAAACCAAGTATACAGTTTTGTAATTTTACAAAAAGAAAGCCAATAGTTTATAAAGAAAAAAAACATGTATTAACATAAGAGTCATCTTTTGTGAATGAAGGTAATTTTTGTTACAGGCATTTTTGATCCACCCCTACCTAGAGACCGAGCCGTTTACTGTGGGGAAAGCCCTGTCCACCCTGTCACTGTTCAATCTTCTACAAGTCCCATGCTGGCTCATCACTCACTTTATCAACACCTTTGTCACAGCTGATGTCAGTGTGAAGCGTCTATTGCCGTATTTCCTTGCTGAGGAGGTAGAGGGACCTGGTGGACGTGATGCCAAGACTCACACACACAGCATAGGGGTGGAGACAATGGATTTAGATGTAGGAGTTTTCTAATTACCTTTAGCATCATAATGTTATGCTATAATAGCTTATCTTGATATAGATAGCCATTCTTGTTAAAACAAGTTACTGGACATAAGGCTATTTATCTAAATCTCTCATTTCTTACAAAAATCACAGCCTGATTAATCTACTCATACTAAAGTTATCTCAGATATTGAACATATATTAATTTCATTTATATAAGGACAGAGTGTCAGTCACAGTTTCTGTTTATTTGTAGATAACAGTAACAGGCTATGATATACAATACATTGTTTTTCGAGATCCTTTTCTGGTTAACACTGATAGTCCGACAACCGTCACAAACAATACTGTAAAAGCATATATTTTCGTTGGGGTTAGATTTCGTTGTTTTTATATGGGGACACATTTGTTGGGATTATATGCGTGGAATCAATATTTTAAAACTCACTCGATTGGTATTGGTCAAATCCGCCATGCTCTATACTGTAGTTATATGCAAAAAGCGATATACACATAATGCATTCTTTGTTTATTTAAAACCACAAAATAAACTTAATAAAATCCCCAACGAAATATTATGCTTTTACAGTAGGCAAAAACACTTGTGAGCAGTTCCTAACTGCATATCAGACAACTGGATACTAGTCAGTAGATATCCCTTTTATGAAGGATGTGACATTTCAGCAATTTCTGTCCATATTTACTCATGTTACCTTCAACTAAGTTGGCTTGTTACTGATTTCCTTCACACTGGAAGTATACATGCCCCTCCAGATGTTCAACATGACTGCTAAGTCACATTAGTTTTGTTCTGGAATCTTGATCTCAGAAACATGTAATGTCTGGCAGTGTTATTGTGTGATACACAAATGTATTGTGTTATGGTACCAGGTATATTGATAGTTTCTACTCCCACACTTTTCAACCCTTTCAGCCCTATGTAACTTTATCAAACTCTCCCATGAATTGATCTGGATGAGTCCATTATAGTCTACAGTGGTGAAAGGGTTAATATGCACATAGTATGGAACTGGAGTTAATTGTTAATGATGTGTACAGAGTATGACATTGAGGTTGTTATTTATAGAGTATGAAACTTGGACTGATGGTGGATATATCTAATGGAACTAGGAAGACAAGTTCTCTACTGAGGAAAGATGAAGATACCAGCTCCCTCAGCTCACTGGAGAGTACATACTCCCGAACACCCATGCACAGTCGCCATGGCAGTCGAGCCTCACTTCTGGACACGCATGAGCCCAACAAGCGTGCCAGCATTGGCAGAACGTCAGCAGGGTCAGGTAATACAGGTGTATCACATTGTATACCAAATGGACATGAAAACATGCCTTGAAGATCTTTATCCAGACTTGACAGAAATCATACTAAATCACAGCTGTTTTATATGTGAGATACAAATTGGCCTAGGTGTTCACACACCATAGATATTGCTCCTCCCACTCACAGAGTAATTATTCTACCTCTCCAGTGCTGACAGTGTTGGAGCCTACTGAGTCTGGCAGACGCCGCCACACAAGCGGTGTATCCACAGAGGATGAGGATGATGTGGCTGATGTTACCACGGTAATAGAACCTCGGGCAACAGTGGAAGTCAACCATGGCAATTTCTCCTGGGAGCTGGAAAGCAAGGAATTGTCGCTGAAAAACATAGACATCAAAATACCGTCAGGTGAGTCATCATGTAGACAAGGTTATGCATACTCTATAAGGCAAGTAACTGTACATAACTTTCAACCTTAAAGCTACAAATCAAACACCTATATGTGAAAATAACACAAAACTATACAGAGTAGAAGCAATGAAGAATAAAGGAAACTAGGTTCATTTATGTTCATATAGCTATTAAAAAAAAATCTTTTTTCAGGAAAGTTGACAATTATTGTTGGTCCTGTAGGATCTGGAAAGACTTCGTTGTTATCTGCAATATTAGGAGAAATGATCACCGTGTCCGGAACAGTAGACTGGAATAGGTAGGCTATCAGTTCAACCTGATCCAAGTAAAAAGGTCGGGTCAGGGTCACTTGGCCATACTTAGAATGTCAGGTCAAGGTCACACAACTGCTTTCAAGCTTCAAAAACTCAAACAAGAGAATGGGCAATTCAAACTTATCCAAGTTAAGGACAATATTAGTTCATTATCTTTAAGAATTGTAAAAATAACGATCTTGGAAAAAAAATGTTATTGCTTAATAACTTACATTCTTTTACTAAAACGATTAATTCTTATTTATCATGACATACTAGTATATTTGAATTGTGGTATTTTTGTAATTTGAGATCTTAAATTTCCACAGAGGAACAAGGCGTGCCTATGTATCCCAGAAACCATGGTTACTGAATGCCTCACTGAAGAACAACATCCTGTTTGGACAGCCATTCCAGTGGCGAAGGTAGCTATGACATGCTTTTAAACTGTGATTTGTATATTAACAACTGCATAACCAAACCTGTGTCCCCCAATAATTGTTGAATGTTTTAGATCAAGGTTGTATATGAAGAGCATAAAAAGCTTGCAAGGAATTCAGACAATAATACACCACATTTGTGTACATTGATCATGAGATGTACTGATATTTTTATATATCAAGATTTTACAGAATTAAAAAAAAAACATAATTGATACAAGCAATATTGTTGGCTCTGGAAGATAGGGGCTAAACAGTTAATTTGTACACATATGAAAGACCTTGACCCACTTTCAAGGTCATAGGGATCAGATTTGTGTAAACCTTTAACCAAGTAATAGCTTGACAAAGGGACCAGTAGGTCTTAAAACGTTGCGACACGTTTAATACGTACAGTGTTTGTGAAGAAAGTAAAACTTTGGTATTACTCTTAACAGATTCTTTTGAATATTGAGAGGTTTTAAGGTAAAGAAAGGCGGGAATCTTTTTTGGGCAAAGGAATAGTTTGTTTATTTAATTAATTTGTTCTTTTGAAATATAAGTCAGAGACAAGTAAACTCCAGATGAACTATTAGAGTCCATGGACCTCTTTTGTATTGGAGAAAATTTCAGTTGATTTCTCATCTCCAAATCTAAGAATTCATAATGTGATAACCTTAAGTTTGCATATCACTGGTAAGGTATCTATGTGGAAGAATTTAATATTCAAAAGTAAATAGCCTTATTGGAATGGGTTTATAGATAATTAACATGTTTTAAGTCTTTCACATTAGGAATATAGATCATGTCTGTATATTTTTTTTTTTCAGATACAACAAAGTTTTACAGGCATGTGCTTTACAGCCAGATATAGCCATGCTGCCAGCTGGGGACAGTACGGAGATAGGAGAAAAGGTGGGAACNGGGGGGGGGGGGGGGGGGGGGGGGGGGCAGAACGGAGATGGGAGAAAAGGTGGGAACAGGGAGGGGCAGTATGGAGATAGGAGAAAAGGTGGGAACAGGGAGGGGGGTACAGTACGGAGATAGGAGAAAAGGTTGGAACAGGGAGGGGCAGTACAGAGATAGGAGAAAAGGTGGGAACAGGGAAGGGGGGGGAGTACGGAGATAGGAGAAAAGGTGGGAACAGGGAGGGGGGGCAGTACGTAGATAGGAGAAAAGGTGGGAGCAGGGAAGGGCGGGCAGTACGTAGATAGGAGAAAAGGTGGGAGCAGGGAAGGGCGGGCAGTACGTAGATAGGAGAAAAGGTGGGAGCAGGGAAGGGCGGGCAGTACGTAGATAGGAGAAAAGGTGGGAGCAGGGAAGGGCGGGCAGTACGTAGATAGGAGAAAAGGTGGGAGCAGGGAAGGGCGGGCAGTACGTAGATAGGAGAAAAGGTGGGAACAGGGAAGGGGCAGTACGGCGATAGAAAAGGTGGGAACAGGGAGGGCGGACAGTTAAGAGATAGGAGAAAAGGTTGGAACAGGGGGGGGCAGTACAGAGATAGGAGAAAAGGTGGGAACAGGGAAGGGGGGGAAGTACGGAGATAGGAGAAAAGGTTGGAACAGGGAGGGGCAGTACAGAGATAGGAGAAAAGGGGGGAACGGGGAGGGGGGCAGTACGGAGATAGGAGACAAGGTGGGAACAGGGAGGGGGGGCAGTACGTAGATAGGAGAAAAGGTGGGAGCAGGGAAGGGCGGGCAGTACGTAGATAGGAGAAAAGGTGGGAACAGGGAAGGGGGGGTAGTACGGAGATAGGAGAAAAGGTGGGAACAGGGAGGGGGGACAGTTAAGAGATAGGAGAAAAGGTTGGAACAGGGAGGGGCAGTACGGAGATAGGAGAAAAGGTGGGAACAGGGAGGGGGACAGTACGGAGATAGGAGAAAAGGTGGGAACAGGGAGGGGAGGGCAGTACGGAGATAGGAGACAAGGTGGGAACAGGGAGGAGGGGCAGTACGTAGATAGGAGAAAAGGTGGGAACAGGGAAGGGGGGGCAGTACGTAGATAGGAGAAAAGGTGGGAACAGGGGAGGGGGGGCAGTACAGAGATAGGAGAAAAGGTGGGAACAGGGAGGGGGGACAGTACGGAGATAGGAGAAAAGGTGGGAACAGGGAAGGGGGGGCAGTACGGAGATAGGAGAAAAGGTGGGAACAGGAAGGGGGGCAGTACGGAGATAGGAGAAAAGGTGGGAACAGGGAGGGGGGGCAGTATGGAGATAGGAGACAAGGTGGGAACAGGGAGGAGGGGCAGTACGGAGATAGGAGAAAAGGTGGGAACAGGGAAGGGGGGGGCAGTACGGAGAGATAGGAGAAAAGGTGGAAGCGGGAAAGGGGAGAACAGTATGGAGATAGGAGAAAATATGAAAATGGGGAAGGGGGCACAGCACAGTGAAGGAAGTTGGGGGGGGGGGGGGGGGGGGCAGGATCAGGGAAGTTATATGGGGGATAGATTATAAAATAGGGGAAATGTAGGAAAAAGAAAGTAAAGTTGGTACAGTTCATCGATAGGAAGAAAGACAGGGTTCTGGAGGTATGGTGGTGGTAGGCAAACAGAGATATGAGAAAGGTACACAACTACTGCCATGTAATAAAACACTGTGTATAAAGTGTCAGTTGTAGGCTGTTCTAAGCACTTTTAAAACCCAAACCAAACTCTTGTCCAGTTCACTAGACATCATCACCAAAGTATTTGTAGTTTCAGGCTTTAAACATGAATTTAACCCCTCTTTGTAATTTGTTGAACAGGGTGTGAACCTCAGTGGAGGACAGAAACAACGAGTCAGTATCGCTAGAGCTCTTTACTCCAAAGCTGACACTATAATACTGGTAAGTCAACATCGCCAGAACTCTTTACTCCAAAGCTGGCACTATAATACTGGTAAGTCAACATCGCCAGAACTCTTTACTCCTAAACTGACACTATAATACAGGTAAGTCAACATCGCCAGAACTCTTTACTCCAAAGCTGGCACTATAATACTGGTAAGTCAACATCGCTAGAGCTCTTTACTCCAAAGCTGACACTATAATACTGGTAAGTCAACATCGCCAGAACTCTTTACTCCAAAGCTGACACTATAATACTGGTGAGTCAACATCACCAGAACTCTTTACTCCGAAGCTGACACTATAAGGCTACATTCGCGTATCCGGTTGAAACGGTTGAACCGGTTGAACCTGTAAAGAAAACGACAGGTACAGATTTGGACCGAGGCTGACCTCAGGAAAATTTGGTACGTGTAGATTTAGGGGTACAGACGTACCTGACCGAAACTAAAATGCTGACTATTGCCAATTTGCGTTATTTCTTTCTTAAACAATGTCAAGTCATATGTATTTTTTAAGATACGTTATGTAATTTAGTGGACGCGTGAGAGAAGGGCATAATATTCTTGATACATTGGTTTTTTTTCTCCGAAACTGTGGATTTTTAGCTCTGCTTATAGAACGGTCCAAGTGTATTCGTTTATCGTGGAAAATTTCTGCACCACACGTACCGTTTCAACCGGGATACGCGAATGTAGCCTTATACTGGTATTCATCGCTAGAGCTCTTTACTCCAAAGCTGACACAATAATACTGGGAAGTCAACATCACCGGAACTCTTTACTTCAAAGCTGACACAATAATACTGGTTAGTCAACATCGCCAGAACTCTTTACTCCAAAAGCTGACACTAATATAACGATCAATTTGTGTTTAACCCTGGATTCTATGACACTTTCCTTGGATGTGGTAGAGTAAAGTTCATTTCATTTATACAAAAGTAGAATCTATAACATGTTCAGTATTAAATGCTTTTGCATACGTTTCTTAGTTGTTGTAACATGGTCATAATTATACACGTGCAATGTATATATTACTTTTGTGTGCACTTTTTTGATTGAAATAAAGGTCAAATAATTTTCAAATTTTCATTGTGTTTATTCTTTCGAGTTGTAGAAATATTCATTGTATTTATATTCGTGGTTCAAAAGCAATCACGAAGAAAACAAATGTACCTAAAAACAAGAATATTTATATTATTACCAACAAAACAAGAAATTAGACGTATTTAAGGATTATATATTATAAAACGGCAAAGATTTCCTTTGTACAAAATTCACTCAATCGTGGATTATTCTGGTTTTCAGGACGATCCACTATCTGCTTTGGATGCCCATGTAGGGAAGCATGTTTTTGAGATTGCTATACTGAAGCGACTGTTGAGGAGGAAAAGGACGGTCATCCTTGTCACCCATCATCTCCAGTACCTCAATCATGCTCATCATGTAAGTCTAAGTCACTCAACACCTCCAGTACCTCAATCAGGCCAATCATGTAAGTCTAGGTCACTCAACACCTCCAGTACCTCAATTTGACAGGCCAATTATATGTCAATGGTTGTGTATATTGTATACCGGATTTTTTTTGCTGCTTTTTAATTTTCACGTTTTTTTCGCCAACGGTAATGGAGTGAATTAATCATTACAGTGAACATCAATAAACATCATAATTTACACAGCAATTGAAAGTGATGGGCGAAATCAAAACTGGGCAAAAATGGATTTAATTGGTGAAGGGTGAAAGTTGGCAAAAATTTCATGGTATACAGTATTAAATCTTGCCAATCACATACCAATCATGCAAAAATAAAGAAAACTCCATTTGATTCAAATTCATTTACGACAAAATAATAAGAAGTTTTATCATCTTACATTTAATCAATCTTGCTGTCCTGGATGGAAGTGCATAGAGAGTTTTAATGTGGAAAGAATAAAAAGTACACAGAGAAAGGCAACATGGTTTGGTGTGGTGTGTAGGTTATAGCTATTAAGGAAGGGCGTAAATGTGACATTATAACATGTGTTGTTTGTGTGTAGGTAATAGCTATGAAGGAAGGGCGTAAATGTGACATAATAACATGTGTTGTTTGTGTGTAGGTAATAGCTTTGAAAGAAGGGAGTAAATGTGACATAATAACATGTGTTGCTTGTGTGTAGGTAATATCTATGAAGGAAGGGACAAAATGTGACATAATAACATGTGTTGTTTGTGTGTAGGTAATAGCTTTGAAAGAAGGGAGTAAATGTGACATAATAACATGTGTTGCTTGTGTGTAGGTAATATCTATGAAGGAAGGGACAAAATGTGACATAATAACATGTGTTGTTTGTGTGTAGGTTATAGCTATGAAGAAAGGGAGTAAATGTGACATAATCACATGTGTTGTTTGTGGTTAGGTAATAGCTATGAAGGAAGGGAGTAAATGTGACATAATAACATGTGTTGTTTGTGTGTAGGTAATAGCTATGAAGGAAGGGAGTAAATGTAACATAATAACATGTGTTGTTTGTGTGTAGGTTATAGCTATGAAGAAAAGGAGTAAATGTGACATAATCACATGTGTTGTTTGTGTGTAGGTAATAGCTATGAAGGAAGGGAGTAAATGTGACATAATAACATGTGTTGTTTGTGTGCAGGTTATAGCTATGAAGGAAGGGAGTATTCAGAACCAAGGAAAGCTGGCAGATGTTAAGAAGGTCAACCCAGACCTGTACGAGTCCTGGAGACGGGCACTAAGGGACTTCAAATCTACACAAGAACCCAGGTAAATCTAGGATTTATTAATGATCAGTGAAGCATATATAGCTGAGCGTTAATAATCCAGTCATCAATAATGTAAAGTCTGGTTGTACCACTGTTAGGGGACTGATTGTTTTTGGATCCCCTTGTATTTGTGAACATGTATATGTATGTACATACTTATGTGTGAAACAAATTGTCATTAATTCTTGGACATCATTTCTAATTGAATTTTAGTCTGGTGAGAGTGGTATCTTCTGTGTTGTCGGGTGAGAGTGGTATCTTATGTATTGTCTGATGAGAGTGGTATCTTCTGTGTTGTCTGGTGTGAGTGATATCTTCTGTGTTGTCTGGTGAAAGTGGTATCTTCTACATTGTCTGATGAGAGTGGTATCTTTTACATTGTCTGATGAGAGTGGTATCTTCTGTGTTGTCTGGTGAGAGTGGTATCTTCTGTGTTGTCTTGTGAGAGTGGTATCTTCTACATTGTCTGATGAGAGTGGTATCTTCTGTGTTGTCTGGTGAGATTGGTATCTTCTGTGTTTTCTGGTGAGAGTGGTATCTTCTGTGTTGTCTGGTGTGAGTGGTATTTTTACATTGTCTGGTGAGAGTGGTATCTTTTACATTGTCTGGTGAGAGTGTTTTTTTCTACATTGTCTGATGAGAGTGGTATCTTCTCTGTTGTCTGGTGAGAGTGGTATCTTCTGTGCTGTCTGGTGAGAATGGTATCTTCTATGTTGTCTGGTGAGAGTGGTATCTTCTGTGTTGTCTGGTGAGAGTGGTATCTTCTGTGTTGTCTGGTGAGAATGGTATCTTCTGTGTTGTCTGGTGAGAATGGTATCTTCTACATTGTCTGGTGAGAGTGGTATTTTCTACATTGTCTGGCGAGAGTGGTATCTTCTGTGCTGTCTGGTGAGAGTGGTATCTTCTGTGTTGTCTGGTGAGAATGGTATCTTCTGTGTTGTCTGGTGAGAATGGTATCTTCTACATTGTCTGGTGAGAGTGGTATTTTCTACATTGTCTGGCAAGAGTGGTATCTTCTGTGTTGTCTTGTGAGAATGGTATCTTCTACATTGTCTGGTGAGAGTGGTATCTTCTGTGTTGTCTGATGAGAGTGGTATCTTCTGTGGTGTCTGGTGAGAATGCGATCTTCTACATTGTCTGGTGAGAGTGGTATTTTCTACATTGTCTGGCGAGAGTGGTATCTTCTGTGTTGTCTGATGAGATTGGTATCTTCTGTGTTGTCTGATGAGAGTGGTATCTTCTGTGTTGTCTGGTGAGAGTGGTATCTTCTGTGTTGTCTGATGAGAATGGTATCTTCTATGTTGTCTGGTGAGAGTGGTATCTTCTGTGTTGTCTGGTGAGAGTGGTATTTTCTACATTTTCTGGTGAGAGTGGTATTTTCTACATTGTCTGGCGAGAGTGGTATCTTCTGTGTTGTATGGTGAGAGTGGTATCTTCTGTGTTGTCTGGTGAGAATGGTATCTTCTGTGTTGTCTGGTGAGAGTGGTATCTTCTACATTGTCTGGCGATAGTGGTATTTTCTACATTGTCTGGTGAGAGTGGTATCTTCTACATTGTCTGGTGAGAGTGGTATTTTCTACATTGTCTGGCGAAAGTGGTATCTTCTGTGTTGTCTGATGAGAGTGGTATCTTCTGTGTTGTCTGGTGAGAGTGGTTTCTTCTGTGCTGTCTTGTGAGAGTGGTATTTTCTACATTTTCTGGTGAGAGTGTTATCTTCTACATTGTCTGGTGAGAGTGGTATCTTCTGTGTTGTCTGATGAGAGTGGTATCTTCTGTGTTGTCTGGTGAGAGCGGTATCTTATGTGTTGTCTGGTGAGAGTGGTATCTTATGTGTTGTCTGATGAGAGTGGTATCTTTTGTGTCGTCTGGTGAGAGTGATATCTTCTCTGTTGTCTGGTGAAAGTGGTATTTTCTACATTGTCTGGTGAGAGTTGTTTCTTTTACATTGTCTGGTGAGAGTGGTTTTTTCTACATTGTCTGGTGAGAGTGGTATCTTCTACATTGTCTGGTGAGAGTGGTATCTTCTGTGTTGTCTGGTGAGAGTGGTATCTTCTCTGTTGTCTGGTGAGAGTGGTATCTTCTGTGCTGTCTGGTGAGAATGGTATCTTCTGTGCTGTCTTGTGAGAGTGATATCTTCTGTGTTGTCTGGTGAGAGTGGTATCTTCTGTGCTGTCTGGTGAGAATGGTATCTTCTGTGCTGTCTTGTGAGAGTGATATCTTCTGTGTTGTCTGGTGAGAGTGGTATCTTCTGTGCTGTCTGGTGAGAATGGTATCTTCTGTGCTGTCTTGTGAGAGTGATATCTTCTGTGTTGTCTGGTGAGAATGGTATCTTCTGTGCTGTCTGGTGAGAATGGTATCTTCTGTGCTGTCTTGTGAGAGTGATATCTTCTGTGTTGTCTGGTGAGAGTGGTATCTTCTGTGCTGTCTGGTGAGAATGGTATCTTCTGTGCTGTCTTGTGAGAGTGATATCTTCTGTGTTGTCTGGTGAGAATGGTATCTTCTGTGCTGTCTGGTGAGAATGGTATCTTCTGTGCTGTCTTGTGAGAGTGATATCTTCTGTGTTGTCTGGTGAGAGTGGTATCTTCTGTGCTGTCTGGTGAGAATGGTATCTTCTGTGCTGTCTTGTGAGAGTGATATCTTCTGTGTTGTCTGGTGAGAGTGGTATCTTCTGTGCTGTCTGGTGAGAATGGTATCTTCTGTGCTGTCTTGTGAGAGTGATATCTTCTGTGTTGTCTGGTGAGAATGGTATATTCTGTGCTGTCTTGTGAGAATGGTATCTTCTGTGCTGTCTTGTGAGAGTGATATCTTCTACATTGTCTGGTGAGAATGGTATCTTCTGTGTTGTCTGGTGAGAATGTTATCTTCTGTGTTGTCTAGTGAGAGTGATATCTTCTCTGATGTCTGATGAGAGTGGTATCTTCTGTGTTGTCTAGTGAGAGTGGTATCTTCTGTGTTGTCTAGTGAGAGTGGTATCTTTTCTGTTGTCTAGTGAGAGTGGTATCTTCTGTGTTGTCTGGTGAGAGTGGTATCTTCTCTGTTGTCTGGTGAGAGTGATATCTTTTCTGTTGTCTTGTGAGAATGGTATCTTCTGTGTTGTCTGGTGAGAGTGGTTTTTTCTACATTGTCTGGTGAGAATGGTATCTTCTTTGTTGTCTGGTGAGAGTGGTATCTTCTTTGTTGTCTGGTGAGAGTGGTATTTTCTGTGTTGTCTGGTGAGAATGGTATCTTCTACATTGTCTGGTGAGAGTGTTTTTTTCTACATTTTCTGGTGAGAATGGTATCTTCTGTGTTTTCTGGTGAGAGTGGTATCTTCTCTGTTGTCTGGTGAGAGTGGTATCTTCTGTGTTGTCTGGTGAGAATGGTATCTTCTGTGTTGTCTGGTGAGAGTGGTTTTTTCTACATTGTCTGGTGAGAATGGTATCTTCTGTGTTTTCTGGTGAGCGTGGTATCTTCTTTGTTGTCTGGTGAGAGTGGTATCTTCTTTGTTGTCTGGTGAGAGTGGTATTTTCTGTGGTGTCTGGTGAGAATGGTATCTTCTACATTGTCTGGTGAGGGTGTTTTTTTCTACATTTTCTGGTGAGAATGGTATCTTCTGTGTTTTCTGGTGAGCGTGGTATCTTCTTTGTTGTCTGGTGAGAGTGGTATTTTCTGTGTTGACTGGTGAGAATGGTATCTTCTACATTGTCTGGTGAGAGTGGTATCTTCTCTGTTGTCTAGTGAGAGTTGTATCTTCTGTGTTGTCTGGTGAGAGTGGTTTCTTCTGTGTTGTCTGGTGAGAGTGGTATTTTCTACATTTTCTGGTGAGAGTGTTATCTTCTACATTGTCTGGTGAGAGTGGTATCTTCTGTGTTGTCTGGTGAGAGTGGTATCTTATGTGTTGTCTGGTGAGAGTGGTATCTTATGTGTTGTCTGGTGAGAGTGGTATCTTATGTGATGTCTGATGAGAGTGGTATCTTTTGTGTTGTCTGGTGAGAGTGATATCTTCTGTGTTGTCTGGTGAAAGTGGTATCTTCTGCATTGTCTGGTGAGAGTGGTATCTTTTACATTGTCTGGTGAGAGTGGTTTTTTCTACATTGTCTGGTGAGAGTGGTATCTTCTACATTGTCTTTTGAGAGTGGTATCTTCTGTGTTGTCTGGTGAGAGTGGTATCTTCTCTGTTGTCTGGTGAGAGTGGTATCTTCTGTGCTGTCTGGTGAGAATGGTATCTTCTGTGCTGTCTGGTGAGAGTGATATCTTCTGTGTTGTCTGGTGAGAGTGATATCTTCTGTGTTGTCTGGTGGGAATGGTATCTTCTGTGTTGTCTGGTTAGAGTGGTATCTTCTGTGCTGTCTAGTGAGAGTGGTATATTCTGTGTTGTCTGGTGAGAATGGTATCTTCTGTGTTGTCTGGTGAGAATAGTATCTTCTACATTGTCTGGTGAGAGTGTTTTTTTCAACATTTTCTGATGAGAATGGTATCTTCTGTGTTGTCTGGTGAGAGTGGTATCTTCTCTGTTGTCTGGTGAGAGTGGTTTCTTCTGTGTTGTCTGGTGAGAATGGTATATTCTGTGTTGTCTGGGGAGAATGGTATCTTCTACATTGTCTGGTGAGAGTGGTATCTTCTTTGTTGTCTGATGAGAGTGGTATCTTCTGTGTTGTCTGGTGAGAGTTGTTTCTTTTTCATTGTCTGGTGAGAGTGGTTTTTTCTACATTGTCTGGTGAGAATGGTATCTTCTGTGTTGTCTGGTGGGAATGGTATCTTCTTTGTTGTCTGGTTAGAGTGGTATCTTCTGTGCTGTCTAGTGAGAGTGGTATATTCTGTTTTGTCTGGTGAGAATGGTATCTTCTGTGTTGTCTGGTGAGAATGGTATCTTCTCTGTTGTCTGATGAGAGTTGTATCTTCTCTGTTGTCTGATGAGAGTGTTTTTTTCTGCATTGTCTTGTGAGAGTGGTATCTTCTCTGTTGTCTGGTGAGAGTGGTATCTTCTCTGTTGTCTGGTGAGAGTTGTATCTTCTCTGTTGTCTGATGAGAGTGGTATCTTCTTTGTTGTCTGGTGAGAGTGGTATCTTCTCTGTTGTCTAGTGAGAGTGGTATCTTCTCTGTTGTCTGGTGAGAGTGGTATCTTCTGTGCTGTCTAGTGAGAGTGGTATCTTCTCTGTTGTCAGGTGAGAGTGGTATCTTCTGTGCTGTCTGGTGAGAGTGGTATCTTCTCTGTTGTCTAGTGAGAGTGGTATCATCTCTGTTGTCTGGTGAGAATGGTATCTTCTGTGTTGTCTGGTGAGAGTGGTTTCTTCTGTGTTGTCTGGTGAGAGTGGTATTTTTTACATTTTCTGGTGAGAGTGGTATCTTCTACTTTGTCTGATGAGAGTGGTATCTTCTGTGTTGTCTAGTGAGAGTGGTATCATCTCTGTTGTCTGGTGAGAATGGTATCTTCTGTGTTGTCTGATGAGAGTGGTATCTTCTTCATTGTCTGGTGAGAATGGTATCTTCTGTGTTGTCTGGTGAGAATGGTATCTTCTGTGTTCTCTGGTGAGAGTGGTATCTTCTGTGTTGTCTGATGAGAGTGGTATCTTCTGTGTTGTCTGTTGAGAGTGGTATTTTTACATTGTCTGGTGAGAGTGATATCTTCTCTGTTTTCTGATGAGAGTGGTATCTTCTGTGTTGTCTTCTGAGAGTGGTTTCTTCTGTGTTGTCTTTTGAAAGTGGTTTCCGCAATTGTGCCTGCTTAGTATGATGTCTGATGTGTGTAGAGTGGTTTTTGCTATGTCGTCTGCAGAGAATCATTTCTTCAATATTGTCTGTTGTTGACAGCCAGAAAGAACCACTGGGAGCAGACAACAAGGAGGTACCAGAACACACAGAATCGGACCTGGCTATGGCGTCAGAAAATCTCCTCAAACCTGAGGGTCACCGCCGTCCATCAGGACAGGTTAGTTTGTTTCACCAGTAGAAATAGGAGTTGGTAGATCTTGAAGAGTAGTTAACACTCCTGCCTTCCACGCAGACAGGCGCAGAGTTCATACCTTGAAGTCTATATTTATAGATTTTCAATGACGTGTTCTTTGATAGGTGCTGTTTAGTTGATGTTGCATCAGAAAAAGAGAACCACTAGTACACATGCAGGCAAACATTTATGCGGATGTATTAGCAAGGTGGCATAGGACTAGTAGTCAGTACCTGCTAAGGTAGCTCCTGCAAAATCCTCAAATTGTATTGATTGTATGAATTGCTTATCTATGAACATATATTTATATATTTGACAAGACCATATATTACGGTAATACATTGATGTTTTTTAGTTCATCCCTTTGTGTTTTTAGTTCATCTGACAAAAACATCCAAGTGAGCTGATGGCATGATGAATTTTAGATCAGTAGAACCATGATATAATCATACCTGGTCAAATCAAACATTCTTTCAACCTCAAACAAGTAACTCATTTTTCCTAATCTATTTGATCTTGATTGTTTTCGTGGATAAGTCCAACTTTATTCTTGTACCTGATGAGTTGGAGCAGATACTTCAGTACAACACTGGAACTACATTCTCAGTTCTGTAGACAGGTGGAATGAGTGTTGTTGATTGTAAGTGACGCATCAGTTTTGTTTGACAGATGATCGGATCTTTGTCACATCGACGTCTGTCTACACAGCTTTCAAACATGGAGGAGGAAACCACAAGTCAAGAAGCCATTAACACTGAGGACCACAGTCATCACAGCACGGGCAGAGGTAACCATGATACAGGCAGAGGTAACCATGACACTGGCACAGGTATCCATGACACAGATACAGGTAAACATGATACAGACACCGGTTACCATGATAAAGATACAGGTAAACATGACACAGACACAGGCAAACATGATACAGACACCGGTTACCATGACACAGACACAGGTAAACATGATACAGACACCAGTTACCATGACACAGACACAGGCAAACATGATACAGACACCGGTTACCATGATAAATACACAGGTAACCATAACACTTGCACAGCTTTCCATGACACAAAAACAGGTAAACATGATAGAGACACCGGTTACCATTACACAGACACAGGTAAATATGATATTGACACCGGTTACCATGATAAAGACACAGGTTAACATGATACAGTCACATGTGACCACATGACACCTGAACAGGTAACTATGGGCACAGGCAGGTTAACCATGACACAGACAGAGGTAAACACAATACAGACACAGGTAACCATGACATAGACACAGATGACAACATGACATCTAAACAAGTAACCATGGGCACAGGTAGGGGTAACCATGAAACAGACACGGTTAACCATGACGCAGACACAGGTGACCATAACATAGACACATATGAACATGACACGGTAAAAGTTACCATGCCATGGGCAGAGGTAACTATAATACCGGCACAGTAAAAGCAATCATAGTACTGGCACATGTAACCATGATGTATGCACAAGTGATCAGGACACCAAGCTACTGGCACGAGAAATACTAACATTCATGATACAGGAACAAGTTAAGTTGTGTATGACACAGGAACAAAGATGGCTTACTATAAAACAGGAAGAGGCCATCTTTGTTATTCAGGGCATCAAGTGTCCCCCTTGTTAGTACGTCCTTACATTTGTTCATCTGGCCAGTTCAGATTTTGCAATTAGGACCTTTATAGACTTAGAACTGTAGCTTGGGTCACACAACTTTAGATACATATTCTCCTCTGTGAGTACAGCATTGTGCATGACTTTTAGTAACCTTTGCCTTTGACATTGACCTCTGACCTTACTTAAGTTATTAGGCGTGGGAGCAGGCATCCGTGTCTTACAGACATTTTATTTCTATTAATCATTTAAAACATAAGCTTTTTAATAGATTGTCTTATTTAAATTAAAGTTTCATTTTTAGCTCACCTGCCCGAAGGTCTGAAGCATCCTTCAGTGAAGGGGAACCAATTTTGTATAAACCATGAGTCTTGCCCCCGAGGGGCTTGAGGGGTGGGGCCAAATATGGGAAACATAGAAAATTCTTTAAAATCCTTCTCATTCTGTAGGAATGAAAGGATTTGTTCCATGTTTGTTCTGAAGCATCCTTTGGGGATGGGGAACCAATTTTGTATTAAACGGGGGTCTGGCCCCGGAGGGACCTGAGGGGCGGGGCCCAATAGGGAACACATAGTAAATTCTTTAAAATCCTTCTTCTTCTGTAGGAATAAAGGATTTGTTCCATATTAGGTCTGAAGCATCTTTGGGGGAAGGGGAACCAATTTAATATAAACCGTGGGCCAGGCCCCTGAGGGGCCTGAGGGGCAGGGCCCAATAGGGAACACATAGTAAATTCTTTAAAATCCTTCTTCTTCTGTAGGAATGAAAGGATTTGTTCCATATTTGGTCTGAAGCATCCTTGGGTGAAGGGGAAACAATTTTATACAAACCGTGGGTCCGGTCCCCCAGGGACCTGTGGGGCGGGGCCAAATCGGGGGCGATTGTGCTATATTGATTTAAGCGACTTCTTCTCTGGAACTTAGAGGTAGATATCAACCATATTTAACTGGAAGCATCCCTCGGTAGTGGAGATTCAAAATTGTACAAATGGTTGGGCTGACCCCCCAGAGGGCTGAAGGGAGGGTCCAAAAGGGGGCAATTTGGCTATATTGCTATTAACGACTTCTTCTGTAGAATTATGCCATGGATATTGATCATATTTGGTCAGTGGCATTCATGGGAGGCAGGGATTCAAAATTGTACAAATGTTGGGGCTGAAACCCCCGTGCTAAGGGGTGGGCCAAAAAATGTTTATTACCTGGAAATGGTATAACCATATATTCAACTGTGGAGTATAAAGAGAAGCATGCACATTTGCTTCCACGATGGTCTAGGGTCTGGCCCCACCCTTTGAGACATAGTCCCTGGGTCATAACTTTGAAACGGTTGAGATCTCCACCCCAGAACTATATAAACAAATGCTTGGCATAAAGAGACAAAAGTAGTCATGATATTAGAATAGACCCTGGGGTCTGACCGAACCCCTAGGGACCTAGTTTCTTAGTCACAGCTTGGAAACAGTTGAGATCCCCTCCCTATAACCATGCATATATACAATTGCTGAGTATAAAGAGATGGATGCACACATGCTTCCAGGATGGCCTTGGGGTCTGCCCCACCCTTGCAGACTTAACCCCTGTGTCAAAACTTTAAAACGGTTGAGATCCCCACCCCAAGACTCTAAATACAAATGCTGGACAAAAAGAGACGAATGCAGTCATGATATTAGAACTGATCCTGGGGTCTGGCAACAACTCTAGGGATCTAGTTTCTGAGTCACACCTTGGAAACAGTTGAGATCCCCACCCCATAACCATACATTATATTGCTGGGCATGAAAAATCTAATACAGACATACTACAAGAATTGGCATTGGGGTCTGGCATATTCCCTTGGATCTCATTTGGAGAACATTTTGCCATGATTGCTTAGATATCCAGGTGAGCGATTCAGGCCCTCTGGGCCTCTTGTTTTTTTGTTAAGCTGGAAAATTCTGTAATGATATACATGTGTAATATGTTTACAGGGAGCAAAACAGATGCTGAATCGTCTGGAAAGCTGATTAAGAAAGAGCATCGTGAAATTGGGGCAGTTGCTATGGGTGTGTACATGAGCTATATCCGCTCGAGCTGCCCTCCTCTGGCAGCTGTAGTGCTTCTGATTTATGTGATGTACCATGCCTGTTTCGTGGCCAGTAACATGATTCTGGCTTCATGGACAGAGGCAGTCACAGACTTTCAAGTCAGGAAACAAATATCAAGCAACAGCAATGAGGTAAGTATAAAATTTCAACATCATTCTGTTTTCTTGTTATGAAAGTAATATTACTCTCTCAAGACCTGTAACAGTTAATCACCTCTAGCCATTTGATCCTCAGGATTATAGGGATCTATTGTAATGTTATAGGGGGCCAGTGTAACATTGAGAGTAAGTAAGGCATCATGTATCAGCAGCTTCAGGAAATCAGGAAAATGAGTATTGGGTGTTATAGGGGGCCAGTGTAACATTGAGAGTTAGTAAGGCATCATGTTATCAGTAGCTTCCAGAAAGAGAGTATTGGGTGTTAATAGGGGCCAGTTTAACATTGAGAGTTAGAAAGGCATCATGTTATCAGTAGCTTCCAGAAAGAGAGTATTGGGTGTTAATAGGGGCCAGTGTAACATTGAGAGTTAGTAAGGCATCATGTTATCAGCAGCTTCCAGAAAGAGAGTATTGGGTGTTAATAGGGGCCAGTTTAACATTGAAAGTTAATAAGGCATCATGTTATCGGTAGTTTCCAGAAAGTGAGTAATGGGTGTTATAGGGGCCAGTGTAACATTGAGAGTTGGTAAGGCATCATGTTATTAGCAGCTTCCAGAAAATGAGTATTGGGTGTTATAGGGGGCCAGTGAAACATTGAGAGTTGGTAAGGCATCATGTTATCAGTAGCTTCCAGAAAATGAGTATTGGGTGTTATAGGGGGCCAGTGTAACATTGAGAGTTGGTAAGGCATCATGTTATTAGCAGCTTCCAGAAAGTAATATTGGGTGTTATAGGGGGCCAGTGTAACATTGAGAGTTAGTAAGGCATCATGTTATCAATAGCTTCCAGAAAATGAGTATTGGGTGTTATAGGGGCCAGTGTAACATTGAGAGTTGGTAAGGCATCATGTTATCAGTAGCTTCCAGAAAATGAGTATTGGGTGTTATAGGGGGCCCGTGAAACATTGAGAGTTGGTAAGGCATCATGTTATCAATAGCTTCCAGAAAGTAATATTGGGTGTTATAGGGGGCCAGTGTAACATTGAGAGTTGGTAAGGCATCATGTTATCAATAGCTTCTAGAAAATGAGTATTGGGTGTTGTAGGTGGCCAGATTAACAAGAACATTACAGGGATCAATAATCATAATAATCTAGATATTCATTTTTAGCTGACCTGGCCCGAAGGTTGTGCGGCGTTCGGCGTCCGTCTGGCATCAATATTTTACTTTAAACAACTTCTTCTCAATAACCCAAAGGCCCAGGGTACTGATATTGGACCTGTAGCATGCTGGGATGAAAGGCTACCAAGTTTGCTCAAATGAATGACCTTAGACCAACTTTTAAGGTGACTGGGGTCAAATATCTTAAAATATTCAAATAACTTCTTCTCCATAACCAAAAGGCCCAGGGTACTGATATTTGGCCTGTAGCATGCTGGGTGAAGGGCTACCAAGTTTGTTCAAATAAATGACCTTCAATTATATTCAAGGTCACAGGGGTCAATTGTCTAAAAAAACCTTTAAACAACTTCTTCTGACTAACCAAAATGCCCAGGGTGATGATATTTTGCCAATAGCATGCTGACATGAAGGCCTACAAAGTTTGTTCAAATGAATGACCTTCACCCATATTAAAGGTCACAGGGGTCAAATATGTTAAAAACTTTAAACATCTTCTTCTCAATAACCAAAATGCCCAGGGTGATGATATTTTGCCAATAGCATGCTGACATGAAGGACTACAAAGTTTGTTCAAATGAATGACCTTCACCCATATTCAAGGTCACAGGGGTCAAATATGTTAAAAACTTTAAACATCTTCTTCTCGATAACCAAAATGCTCAGGGAGATGATATTTGGCCAGTAGCATGCTTGGGTGAAGGGCTACCAAGTTTGTTCAAATGAATGACCTTGACCAACTTTCAAGGTGACAGGGGTCAAATGTCTTAAAATCTTCAAACAACTTCTTCTCAATAACCAAAAGGCCCAGGGTACTGATATTGGGCCTGTAGCATGCTGGGATGAAGGATTACCAAGTTTGTTCAAATGCATTTCCTTGACCCACTTTCAAGGTCACAGGGGCCAAATGTCGTAAAATCTTCAAACGACTTCTCAATAACCAAAAGGTCCAGGAAACTGAAATTGGGCTTGTAGCATGCTTGGATGAAGGACCACAAGTTTGTTCAAATTAATGACCTTGACCTACTTTCAACCTAATGTCCTTGTTTGACATTCAAGGTCACAGGCGTCATATGTTTAAATCTTTTAATAGGTACTTATGAATCAAACACTGATATTCTGCCTGTAGCTGTATTTTAGTCCACTTTTAAGATTACAAGTTTGAGATTAATATCAGGTTAGCAATGTAGGCCCATTGGACCTCTTGTTGTATCCAGCTTTCCTATTCAACTTTATGTCAAGTGATTCTTTTGTTTACAAATATGAAACTGAGGGAACAAGTTAATATTTATTTTATAATATCTGTAAAATACTTTAAACAACATTTTCTCAAATTTAGTAAAACAAATCAAGGGAAACTTCTTGGCATCATTATGCGATTCTTTGTTACATTACAAATATCGGATCTTACATGATTTTCCATTTCATATGAGATTTATGAAACGAGTCGAAGAATGTTTCAATTTAGCGAGCCTCTGGCGAGCTAAAATGAAAAATTTGTGAAGAGTTTCATAAATTTCATATGAAATGAAAATGAGTGTGAAATCTGTTTTATCCTATAACTGAGATTTGTGGCATTTATTATAGTAAAACGACACTTTTCATGCAACATTGAAATGTCAAAAGCCGTCATTTTGACTCCAGTGTGTAAGTCTGTGACGTCATGTACCTGTCCTAGGCGTGACATCACAATTGAAATAATTGAAACTTACAACCAATCACAGGGCTGATGGGTCATATTGCATGGGTTAATACGCAAACAAATATGATGAAAAAATATGACAAGGGTATATTCACTAGACAACACATGTACAGTACATTATGTGATAATAGATGTTATTACTCATGCATGTTAATGTATTGAATATATGTTTAGATCAACCATCCCCTTAAGATTCTTAAAGTCTGCTTTATCACAAGTTTTTTGTCTTAATTTTCATTTATGTATGTGATATATTATCAATTGTGTTTTTGTGTAATCTATCAGTTTGTTAAAGGCTTATAACTAAGAACTAACAATCTTGATTTACTTTCAGACATTAGATAACGGTCAATACATGAGAATGTACTCCATACTAAACCTAACAGCCATCGGAGGTGCCATGTTAGCCAGTGGTCTCCTATATGTTGCTGGGATTCAGGCCTCTAAAGTGCTCCACTCCACCATGCTAGATACCATTCTACATGTACCTATAAGGTCAGTACACCTTTAAATCTGCTCAATTACCCAGAGAAAACTAAGACACATACATATACATTAGAGCCTTGTTAAACCCAGTCACCACTAAACCAATTGTCCCACTACTCCGCCAGTGTACTAGGGGACAGTTCAACTTGTTCGATAGTCCAACAATCTCAAAATGATGGCTGAATATGCAAGACTCAAATTTATTTATGTTTTACCATCTAAATGAAAACGTTTTCAATGTGTTAACAGTCTCTTACTCGTTCCTTGTTATCAACATCTATACTTTGTATAAATAGGTCATGAAGGATCAGTTTATTGGTGTTTAGAATTTACAGATTTAAATGAAATATAATACAATCATATTATAATACAATTATATAGTGTAATACAATTATGGTATAATAAAATAATATTATACATTAATTTGATATTTTTTTGCAGTTAATACAATTATAAAACCCAGGTATAACACAATTACAATGAAGTATAATACAATTACCCAGTATTGCATATTGTTGTCTACAATATTTCTAACCATGTTTTCTTTACTATTTAAGGTTTTTTGATACCAATCCAACAGGGAGAATTCTAAACCGGTTTTCATCAGACATGTCACAAATTGATCAGGTTAGTCAAACTTTACCTAACTCTGGGTGACACATACATCTTACAACATATATATTATTGTGGAGTTTGTTCTGTCTGATTGTGTTGGCTATAATGAGTTACCTCTGTAATACAAGAATCATGACTGTACACTGCCAAACTTTCGCTCAGTCAAACTTTTGCCTTATGAAGGTAAAATCCTTATTTGCTCCTAGTTAATTTTGCCCTTTACATTTGATAGCAATGCTTAGTAGTTTCATGTTGTTTAACACTATTCACTATAATGATTAAGTCACCTTCATTATGTAGGTCAAAAAGCAAAATTTCCCGTGATAAGGTAGTGTAAAAAATGTAAATTCAGAGTTTTTGTGATTGATTAAAATTTGTGAAATGACATTATAGCATGGTAGTACTTCTACAATTAGAACTGGCTTGGCGCTTTATAAAAAGCTGCTTGGCTGTAAATATCATCCAGTAACGGATTCTACAGTTGTAGAATTATGTTTACATTTTTATAGAAATTACCGAACACGCTCGAATCCCTGATGAAATGCTTTTTCCTGACAATCTCGGCACTTATTGTGAACAGCATCGGCACGCCATACTTCCTCCTGGCGGCCATTCCACTCCTCGTTCTGTATTACTGTGTTCAGACATTCTTCAGGGCAACTTCAAGGTAAACAGGTTTTACTTTATATCCTGGTGAATGCCACTGGAGCTAAATTCAAGATCTTTAATCCATTCATCAATGTTTTCCCTATAAAGTCTATAAAATGAATGAAGGAATCCTAATAAGAAAAATGTTTATACATCTTTTAAAGCCCATTGAAAGGTTTTGTGTTTTCTTTTCTTAAGGAACTCATTGAGAGGTTTTAATCAACGCATTGTGTTTAATTAATTGTTAAACATGATTTGTATCTTTTCAGAGAGCTACAAAGATTGGACAATTTAACAAAGTCTCCAATATTTTCACATTTCTCGGAGACACTGAATGGCATACAGACTATTAGAGCGTACAAGTAAGTTACAACAGAGCTTGCCATCAAATAGTTATATTGTTGGAATATTTTGTACATTACAACTGGAAATTTGTTTTTTTAGAGAAGAAATCGATAGGAACAAATCCTACCATCCTTACTAATAATGTCAACAAAAAATGTTAAACCTCAAGGTAGCTCATTTCCTTGATTTCTAAAATCTACATTTACCTTTGATTGTGTGGATGTTTCAGTTTGATTCTGTTGACATTTCTGTCTGATAAACCTGAATTCTGTTGACATTCAGTCTGGTAAACCTGAATTCTGTTGACATTTAGTCTGGTAAACCTGAATTCTGTTGACATTTAGTCTGGTAAACATGAACTCTATTGACATTCAGTCTGGTAAACATGAATTCTGTTGACATTCAGTCTAGTAAACATGAATTCTGTTGACATTTCTGTCTGATAAATCTGAATTCTGTTGACATTCAGTCTGGTAAACCTGAATTCTGTTGACATTCAGTCTGGTAAACCTGAATTCTGTTGACATTCATTCTGGTAAACATGAATTCTATTGACATTCATTCTGGTAAACCTGAATTCTGTTGACATTCAGTCTGGTAAACATGAATTCTGTTGACATTCTGTCTGGTAAACCTGAATTCTATTGACATTCAGTCTAGTAAACATGAATTCTGTTGACATTTCTGTCTGATAAATCTGAATTCTGTTGACATTCAGTCTGGTAAACCTGAATTCTATTGACATTCATTCTGGTAAACATGAATTATATTGACATTCAGTCTGGTTAACCTGAATTCTGTTGACATTCAGTCTGGTAAACCTGAATTCTGTTGACATTCTGTCTGGTAAACCTGAATTCTATTGACATTCAGTCTGGTAACTGTTGATTCTGTTGACATTCAGTCTAGTAAACCTGAATTCTGTTGACATTCTGTCTGGTAAACCTGAATTCTATTGACATTCAGTCTGGTAACTGTTGATTCTGTTAATGGTTCTCTTTACCTTTCAGAGCGGAGGGTCAGTTCCAGTGTCAAGCCATACAAGCTATAAACAACAACACAACACCTCTGCTATTTATACACTCTGTCAACCGCTGGCTCGGCATCAGACTGGTTGGTATAACTACTTTTTAAAAACTTCTTCTATAGATCCCTGACGCCTAGAGTCATATATTCACATTCTATACCTTGTTTGAGTATAGGCTATCAAAGGTGTTAACATTGATAATATTGACCCACTTTTTCAATGTCACAGGGATCAAATAAGTTTAACATTTCAACTGGTTCCCTCTACAGAACAATGAGGACCACAGTAGACTCCTTCTATTTAAAAAATACAAATTTTGCTGACAGAGTGATGTCCCTTGTTGATTATATGTATGTTTGTAATACAGGACTATATGGGTGCTGTTGTGGTGTTCCTGGCCGCAGTGTCCAGTCTTACTGCTTGTCTTGCCGGACAGGCCACTCCTTCCTCTGTGGGACTCAGTATTACTTATGCCTTACTTGTAAGTACATCATCAGGAGATCAGGTATATATGTAAAGAGGGTTTCTGTAAAGAGGGTGTTAGCAAACAGTTTTTTTCTGTAAAGAGGATTTCTGTAGAGAGGGTGTTAGTGAACAGGTATTTCTGTAGAGAAGTTGTTGGCTAACAGGTATATATGTAAAGAGGGTGTAAGCAAACAGGTATTTATGTAGAGTGGGTTTCTGTAGAGAAGGTGTAAGCTAACAAGTATTTATATAGAGAAGATGTTAGGTAACAGGTATATCTGTAGAGAGGGTGCTAGGTAACAGGTATATCTGTAGAGACGGTGTTAGGTAACCGGTATATCTGAAGAGAGGGTGTTAGCTAACAGGTATTTCTGTAGAGAAGGTGTTAGGTAGCAGGTATTTCTGTAGAGAAGGTGTTAGGTAACAGGTATATCTGTAGAGAGGTTGTAAGCTGACAGGTATTTCTGTAGAGAGGGGTGTTAGGTAACAGGTATATCTGTAGAGAAGGTGTTAGGTAGCAGGTATATCTGGAGAGAAGGTGTTAGGTAAAAGGTATATCTGTAGAGAGGGTGTTAGTAGCTAACAGGTATTTCTGTAGCGAGGGGTGTTAGGTAACAGGCATATCTGTAGAGAGGGTGTTAGGTAACAGGTCATTCTGTAGAGAAGTTGTTAGGTAACAGGTATTTCTGTAGAGGTATTTCTGTAGAGGTATTTCTGTAGAGATGGTGTTAGGTAACAGGTTTATCTGTAGAGAGGGTGTTAGGTAACGGGTATATCTGTAGAGAGGGGTGTTGGGTAACAGGTATTTCTGGAGAGAAGGTGTTAGGTAGCAGTTATTTCTGTAGAGAAGGTGTTAGGAAACAGGTATTTCTGTAGCGAGGGGTGTTAGGTAACAGGCATATCTGTAGAGAGGGTGTTAGGTAACAGGTCTCTCTGTAGAGAGGGGTGTTGGGTAACAGGTATTTCTGGAGAGAAGGTGTTAGGTAGCAGTTATTTCTGTAGAGAGGGTGTTCGGTAACAGGTATTTCTGTCGAGAAGGTGTTAGGTAACAGGGATTTCTGTAGAGAAAGTGTTAGGTAACAGGTATATCTGTAGAGGGGTGTTAGCTAACAGGTATTTCTGTAGAGAAAGTGTTAGGTAACAGGTATATCTGTAGAGAGGGTGTTAGCTAACAGGTATTTCTGTAGAGAAGGTGTTAGCTAACAGGTATTTCTGTAGAGAGGGGTGTTAGGTAACAGGTATTTCTGTAGAGAGGGTGTTAGCTAACAGGTATTTCTGTAGAGAAGGTGTTAGCTAACAGGTATTTCTGTAGAGAAAGTGTTAGGTAACAGGTATATCTGTAGAGA